TTGGGTGGATGTGGTGTTGAGGGTTGCAGAGATATTTTGGTGTGGGGGCAGGGGTATTTTGGGCAATCTAACTCATTAGTCAACACTCACTAAAAATGACCAAAAGTCAAACCGGGAACATATAATCCGGACGGAGGGAGTATATTCTATTTACTTATCAGTAATATTGACATTAATGAATGCTAATTCGAATGAAATGATTTATTTGGCATTTCTGATAATACGTCCGGAAAGAAATTATAATTTTCAAATGTTTACCCAAAGACACATATAGTTGATTCATTATTGATGATTGAATTTGGGTTTCATTTGTTTACGATTATGATTCAGTCCAATTTGATCCAAACCAGTTTGTTTCGATAGTTTGATTGGTTTCAGTTTCACACAATTTGACTCGATTTTAGTTTAGTTCAAATCATTTGGATTGGGTATCGAGAGTAGAAGCTTTTGGGTCATTTCAATTTTGAGTTATTCGATTTAAGTCAGAGGAAGTGTAGAGTTACACCATTCCAAATAGTGTAACTGCTTGACACCATTTAAATCAGAACATAAACGATGCTCCGTTTGTAAAATTGACAGTCCTTACCCTCCTAACTTCCTTATAATTTATAAACCCCACCCCCGACCTCGTCCTCTCACGGAAAGTCGGCAACCCTAGCCTCTACAATTGAAGCATATAAATTTCTTTGACATTTGGGTCAAAGTTTTGACCAAAAAGGTCAAGAAATCTTATGAACTGCAATTACGAGGGCTAGGGCGGTCGTGAGGGTGCGAGGTCAGGGGTAGTGGTTTATAAGGGGCATTTGAAGAGTAAAAACCGTCAATTTTACGAAATGGAGCACCATATGTGGCCCCATTGAAATGGTGTTAGGGAGTTGCATCATTTGGGCTTCTGCCGTTAAATTTTCATTTTACCTTCTCGGGGGGCATGGACTTTGCGAGCATCGTGTCATCGATGAACTTCATCTACGGCCTTGGGATGCTGCTCGAGTTCGGGGCGTTTCTGTGGCTTAGAGTGCAGATGCCGAACGCAAAGAGGCCTTACAAGGTGCCATTGTCGTTCCGATGGCTTGTGGTCATGTGTTTGGTTCCCTCTGGTTTTCTAGTCTATGTGATGGCAGACTCCTCTAAGGCCGTGTTTGGGGTCAGTGCCTTGCTCACCCTTCTTGGGGTTCTTTGGTACTTACTCATGAAACTTTGTAGGGTTAAGAAGTGGGTTTTCTTTTATGACAGTGAAGAAAATTCCTGTGGTTGAACATCACAAAGGAATTGCCAACTTCACCCCCCATGGGAATTAGCTTATGTCCCACAATTCCTGTGAAATTACATTTATATCCTCACTTAACAGTGTTCCTTTTTCTGTATGTGATGGGCATTGCATTTTCACATATTTGTGTTATTGTTTCTCTCCTATTCATACATCTCAACCTCATAACCTCTACCTTGTAAGGCTCTGTTTGGCATTAACTTTAGTGTTCTAAAAGTGTCATGCAACAATAGCTTTTAGCATCACCGTTTTCATAGTAAACCTGTGCCACTAAAAAAATACGGAGTATCCAAAAAAACACGCAGGACAAAATGAGACGTGTGAAGTAATGTTAAACATTTTTTGTTCTGGGTGACCAAAAACTATAGAAGGATTAATGATGCCATTATGATGGACAAACGAAAATCAGAGTAGAGTTCAAATAATGTTCTGTGAGATGAAATGAACCCAAAAAAAAATAACAAAACCAAAACAAATTACACAAAACTTACCATTGCACAAATATGCTGTCTGGAGTGTGTCGGTCGGGGTGTTATCAGTAGTTAAGTCCAACTCAAACAAAAACAAAAAAAAATCACCTCTCCTTTCTCTACCATCTTTTTATGAGACCCATCAGCAGTGAGGGTAACACATGACCATTATTTGGTTCAAAGGAAGTATTCTGGTGTTCTTCTGGTCACGTCGGGCTCCCCTCTCCTTGGAGCCGGCTCAAACTGTAAAAGAAAAAAAGGGATAAAGACTAAACTATGAGTAAAACATGGAGAAAGTATTAAAACAGGAGCTCAATCTTTTTATCCCCAAAATAGGAGTTACAATGTCGATAATGTTAACATATAATACCAAAAAACACTATGGAATGCCAATATACATTGCCAATTTGCCACAGGGGTTAAAAGTATGAAACTCCAATTTTGGGGTTAAAAGCATGAAACTCCTATTTTGGGGTTAAAAACATGAAACTCCTATTTTTGGTACTATCTTTATATCTTACTCCTAGCGGGGTACATTTCTTGAGATAAAAAAAAAGTAATGGGCAATGCCTATTGCAAGATTAATCAGGGGAGAAAATATTCAAGAAAAATAAAATCAGGCTTTAAAAGCTAGCCAAATAAGCTCTTCAACGAACACGACAAAGAATCACGCTACTTTGAATGTAGAGACAAATGCAGGGTAATGAATGTATGGGCATTGCATGTACCAAATGAAAGAAAAAAGAGATACCTGAATGAATGTATGGGCATTGCAGTCATCGACTTCTAGTATGGATGCCATATTCCCACACCGATAACAATAATTAGGTGCGCTGAATATAGTTACAACCTTTTTTTCCTGCAAGGCATAATGACAATATATACGTACTAATCATGTATCCCCCAAATTAGATTTATAACAGCAACAAGAGTGTAAAACGACTTCTGATAGAGAAATTTTAAAAAATAAACAAAATTACATGTGCCCAATTGAATCCCTCCATGACCAGTTGATGTGCTCTTGCAATAAGCTTCAAGTTGTTATTGTAGTTGAATTGCTCCGATATGTCCTGTTAAGGTCAACAGATAAGATAACATACATCAATTGAACTCACGGATGACGGATCATAGGATTACTTTATATAAAATGAATTCCTCTGAGAAGGTAATATCATAGCAAGTGATATTAGTGTCTTAATATGACACCCATGGTGAGTGTCGTAGTCATAATATGACACTCATGCCATTTAAGGGCCCAACAATGCTCTGATCACGAAGTGGTTCCTACGACCAAACCCCCCCAGCCCCACGTTTTGCCATATGCTACAGTAAATACTGTAGCATGACTGCAAAACAAGAGGGGTTTGGGGTTTGGGGGCGGTAACAACTTTGGGGTAGAACAAAGTAACATATGGTCTTAAAAAATCACCATGTGTCATAATATGACACCCATGATGGCCTGATGGGTGTCAAAAGAACCTCGCCTTACGGATGAAGCCAGAAAAGTCTAAACTATTAACAACGTAATCACATTACCCCCGGCATGGAGATATAGTTAGATTACCTTGATAATCCTAAATGCCCAAACCAAGCACTGCCTTATATATTCTAAAAGGGAAAATGACAGTAAAAAATAGTTATATTTACCTGGCCAAAGGTATAACCAGCACCTCTAGGTGAAATACCCCAACCAGACCGATCATCGGGATCAGACCATAAAAGATCACACATAGGCCCTTCATGTGGAACTTCTTGTACACGGTCAAAACTGCGAATACTATCAAGAGTTTCGATAGATGGGGACAAACCACCATGGAGACAAAATATTTCTGACTCAACCTAAATTTTGAAAACAATTACAATCAATAATAGGAATAGTAATACAAAAACCAATGATCTTAACAGCCAATTAAATCACAATTCATTCCTTGAATATCAAGAAAACTAGCAAGCCTTGCTGAACTAAGCATGGGAAATAAATTGACATGAAAACAGATACGGTACTCACCAAGGCCGTTAGTGGAAAATAGTCAAACAGATCTGTGAAAATCTTCCACACATTAGCATTACCATATCTGTAAAATGCAACTGCAGTCAATCAACAACATATGTCTAATATGTAAAATGGAGCAAAACCTTAAAAAGCATAGCTGAACTATAGATTTAACCTGGTATGCTGTCACTATGACCTAAAAAAATAGTATAGCATTAATAGCCTAATACAGAGTACCAAATAAATTTGACACCATGTGGTTTGCTTAGATTGTGGCATTGTGCTAAACTTATCTCTACCATAAATTTTAAAACAAGTTCATGTGCAAAGAAAAGGGCAAACAAATATGTACTAATTCAGTTTTCCTGCACCGTGAGAAAAGACATTTAAACGTCATAATTGGTCATGATGTGGTGAACTCACTTCCTCAAGCATTCGTCATAAAATCCATAAACTTGAGTGATCTGCAAGAAAAAACAGAGGCCACCAACTCTTGTCAAAAGAACCCTGAATCTGCTACGAAATTAGAACAATAGGCCCTCTAGGAATACAACTTCGTCACAAATAATTTAATATATGTTCTGAATGCAGCATATGAAATAACAGGTCTCAACTACATACACATACCATATCCATACATTGTGCCAGCATGAAAATGAAAGGATAAAATGCATATCCAGCAAAGAAAAGATACATGGTATGATTTAATGATGTAAAAGGAAAATTGCAACAAATGAAAGGCTGGTAGAAATGCATACGCATACCTGTCTACTCTCGTGATTTCCCCTAAGGATTGTAATTCGTTGTGGATAGCGAACCTTGAGGGCCACCAAAAGCTGGAACGCAAACAACTCATTGTCTAAAATATACCAAAGCAAACTAAAATAACAAATCACTCTGTAATTACCAGTCCCCTAACCAATCTTAAAGTATACATGGAATTCTAATCAGCAACAGAATCACCACTAATTATTGGGAAATGGCTTTTAAATTTTGTATTCCATCTGTCCTATAATTATCTTCCAACGTTTTCTATTTGGGTTGTCCCAAATTTTCTTCATGTTTCTTTGTAAGGAAAAAAAGTGTGGTTCATCTTATTTCTCTTTCCTCTACACAAACCACAAGCACACACATTCTACTTTATTCAAAATTGTGTCAAGTCAAATTAGGAGGAATATTATGGGATGGAGGGAGAATTTGGTTAAAATGTGAAGACAGAAAGTAGGAATGTACCGTCACTGTTTCGACAGAATAATAACCACGGTCTACATAATCTCCCATGAATAAATAATTTGTATCTGGGCACTGCCAATAAGATAAAAGAATAAAGTATGATCAGGAGAGATAACATACACCACCTGCATCATTACATAATTGCATAGGAAACGTGGTGTGATTTCCAAAAAAAACTCACAATAGCAAGACAAGTACCACATAAATATATGTCAACATTATATTTCATGTTTTGTTTTGGAACTTTTGGTGGAATATAAGATCATTTTGACTTATTAGGAACACAATAGGATTACAGTGTTGCCAGTCTTGCCAGAACTTCACTGAGCATTATTTTAGTGTTTATCAAAAGCTAGGATTGAAGCAGTTGCTAGAAAATAGAATTTAACTGTAAAGTTAGGTGGTAAAAAGTTGTGGCTTGAGAGTATAACTTCTAGAGATTATGGGAAGAGTTTACATGAATTTCCTTTTATAGTAGGCATGTTTCTTCAATGGGAATTAACAGATCATAAAAAATATGAAAAACATCAAGCACTGTGAGATTGCAAACAGCCCTTTTAAGCTGAAAGAAAGCCGGTGTTAGAATTTGAGAATCTGAAAGTGGGGTCACTGATTATGATTATTACAATATTACGCTTATAAAAATTGTGATTGAAGAGAAATCATCAATGCATATGTAATACATAAGAGCATTCAAATACCTTTCCACCAATTCGAAAAAGTTCGGCAAGATCATGAAACTGCCCATGAATATCACCACATATGGTTACTGGGCTTTTCACAGGCTGCCATGGAAAAATTGGCAATAGAAAAAATACAAACCCTTTAATCTTTTAAATATATCTTATTGACCTTACAAATATTCTATGAGAAAACTTCAAATAATGCACGCATGTTGAATACAAAGCAGACACAAATAATGACACCAATCCTATAGTGACTTGAAATGAGAATGCTGATTTCAATGAGATGGCTTCAGATAATCTAAATCTGACCTGATTGGAAAGCATAAATGATTTGAAAGATTTGTAAATACATGCTTTTACTAAATAGAAATAAAACTCTCACATTCGCATCAAATACTGCAATTCAGGTAAGTTTGGTCAAGGCTTCGTGAAACTAGGGATGGCAACGGGTCGGGTTCGGGTCGGATAGTACTATACCCGAACCCGACCCGACTTTAAAAACCGAAACCCGAACCCGACCCGAAACCCGACTTTTTAAGCCAAAACCCGAACCCGACCCGAACCCGAGATTAAAACCAGAAACCCGAACCCGACCCGAACCCGACTTTTAACTAATAATCAATTCGGTGTACCCCAATAATTTTAAAAAGATTACATCTAATTTTTTTTGTGTCTCATTTTTTTATTAAGAAATTATAAAAAATGATTATAAAAGGCATATTTGGTATAGTAGCACTTTGTCAAGAGATTATACGGAGTGCTCATTATATCCATAGATAGGCTTTTAAGTTATAAAATATTCGGGTTTGAGTCTGGTCGGGTTCGGGTTCGGGTCGGGTCGGGTAAAATAATAAACCCACACCCGACCCGACCCGATGTCGGGTTCGGGTAAAAAAATTCGGGTCGGGTTCGGATTATTTTATTCTCGGTTCGGATTTTTTAGTGGTCGGTCGGGTCGGTTAAGCTCGGGTTCGGGTTGAATTGTCATCCCTACGTGAAACTTTCATTTTAAAGAAGAGGCAGAGGTCCGCGGCTCCAGGGCCCGTGCGTCACCAAACCCAAGTATAAATATTCTGCTCTAAAGTGATAAAATATAGTTGCACTCTTGCACTGTAGAAAAGGTAAAGCCTCAAGTCCACAGCGCATTTGAAATTTTGAATAATAAACTATTGGAGTTGAAAGTTCATCTAGAGCAGAAGAGTGCACATGCATTACCAAAAAAAATCCAAAACAGAAGCCTTGACACTGCCCTACCCCAAAATCCAAACCCAAAAGTTGAGAAAATAAAGTATGAAAAGGAGAAAACAAAATCCAGAAGAAAATATATAGCAGTGAAGAAGTAATCATGAGCCAGCATACCTGTACATTGCTCTCTCCCATAAGAACTTCCCTAGCTTTCTCGCACAGCATTCTCACCTGAGATAAGAATGGAAGCAAAGTGGGAGATTATGATAGAGAGAGAGAGAGAGACATTTCATGTGTGCGCATCAGAATGTGCATGTGCTAGTAATTGACTAATCGCACTTATGTTTCTGGCATGAAAAGTAAATGCAAACTACAAATCAAGATTCAATTGAATATAAGCCTAAGTTGTGATAATGATATCTTGTAGTAGATTCAAACATGCTTATTTCAACTCCAAAGCATGTATACTTAGCAAATTGTGTGATTAGCATGTTTTAGAGAATAGTTGTGGAATAAGTAAACGCAATTTGGCCTCTACCTGCAGGCCGCAATATTATAAAACGACCAAATATTTTTCCACATGTGGGATCTCGGGGAGGGGGTGGGGGTGGGGGTGGGGGAGTGCACAAACCTTACCCCTGCCTGGAAAAAGTAGGGAGGTTGATTCCAATGGAACCCCCGCTCAATTTTACCTCTATCACTAAAAACTCAAATACGGTGCTTACCCAAAATGCCCTACTCACACAATCTATACTTAGAAGTTTAAAAACTCGCACTGCAATACAGTCCTGAAGAAATCATCCCCAAACTAACAAACATATAGACTATGAATTAGGGAATAATAAATTACACAGAAGCTAAGAGAGCTTATGCTGGTTGTTTCTACTTTCACCTAATCTTAAGTTCTTGTTTAGTTGAATCCACATTGTCAGCGGGTAGTATAGGAAAACAGTTCAAATATTCCAGTCTTGAATGCAACTTCTGATTCCAGCGCATCAAATTCAAAGTTGAAGTTTGGTAACTTTAAATCAAAATTCATGTATGCAGCATGTGTGAACTTCTATTTACAGCCACAATTTAGGCAGGAAAATCATTAGTGGGACAAATTTTGACAAAAAGTTTCACTTTTGACATTCATAGTCTTTTCTTAAACACCCAGAAACAAAGATAAGCAAAAGACCCAAATTAGAACGAGTTACAAGAGATGGGTTTTTTTAAAAGGAAGACACCAAAAATTCGCAAGCTCAAATTACAAATCCAAAAGTTTGAACCCAGAAATTGGATCAAGAAACCATGAGAACAGCGAAAAGAAAGTGAAGACGCCGGATCTGAAGAAAAAAGTGAATTAACGCCCCGCACCTCTTGCTCTGACAAGGGTTTGCACTGCATGAGCTGAGCAATCTGTTCATCGAGGTTCCCGTGAGCGGAGCTCGACGGCACAGGATCCATCCTCTGAGCAATACGACGTCGTCTCTTCTGTAGCGGGCGGGGTCTATGGAGAAGAAGGGAGGGAGATTTAGCCCTAGAATTTGGGCGATTCCGATTTGATGGTTTCCTGGCTTGATTGCCCCTCTCTCTACGACGTCGTTTACTTCTCCTCCGACCCGGAGCAAGAAACCGCACAGAGATGGCGAGCGGCAGTGGAGTGTGGTATGATGATGGCGCAACCGAAGACAAAGCATACCAATATATACAACTGTCTCTTTTTTTTTTCAAGAAAATAAAATACTCCCTCCGTCCTAAAATTAATTTCTCAGTTTGACTTTTGTGGTTAAAATTTTTAAACTTTGATCGTATATTACGGAAAAAATACTTTGAATTTTCATATAAATTTATTAGCAATAGATTCATTTTGAAACATAGTTTTGAAATATATAATTTTTATAAAATATATTTATATAAAAACTGAGATATTGATGGTCAAAGTGTCGCATTGGAGACCGTGAAAAGTCAAATGAGAAGTTAATTTTAGGACAGAGGGAGTAGGAAGTAATAAAACTAGGAAAAATAATTTTACAAATTTGTTTTTCTAGAAATAAAACATTTTGTGTCTATTCCATTAATGATCTAAAATTAATATACATTGGATCAAACCAATCATATCTAGATCTCATAATCAAATATTTTAGATCAGACATATTTTTCGAATAAGTTCTTGAGAGAGTTCATTCCAAAATTTAGTATGTTCATTTGCAAAATTGAGACGCTTTGGGTTCATTAGGACAAATTTATATCTAGTCTAGCCTAAATCTTGAAAATGTGGATCACAAATTATACATGCAATAATCCCACTAATGTTGATAAACGATGTTTAAGTCAAAGATCACATATTTACAATTACATGTATTGTGTACTCATTTGAGGGATTTGAACTCGTCTGATGTATTACAAACCACTCTCAATAGTAATTATTAGGTATCAAGCGTTCTTAGTGGAGTTTTTCACCATTTTCACTTTTTGAAGTACTGTGTAATATATATGTTGCTCCAAATTGACTACAAAAGTTAACTTCAAAAGGCCAAGGCATCAAAAATATTATAAATGCTACAATATAGGTTTGGGGAATTAGTTTGGGAGTTGAACTCAATATAATCCCTCCACGAGCGCAAATAAGTGCAGATGCTCCAACATTAATAACGTGTTGCTCTGACACAATATGAAATAATAGACTTCAATCCAATCAAATTCTAAGAATCAACTCAAAAGATCGGGATATCCAAACTATTATAAACAACACAATAAACTTACAAAACACACGAAAAAGTTGGACTCAACACATCCCCCTCACACGAGGTGCAAGTTATTGTGGGTGGATCCAACATCAATGAGATTAGCTTCAATTTTATGTGAAATAGTAGTCTCCGACCTAATTCAATTTAAAGTTTACGCAATCATTTTTTGTGTTGTTTGTAGTGACTCCCAGAAACATTAGATTGAACTAAATTTTTTCACTTTAAACACCGTTCAAAATGTATTTTGAAATATGGAATATAGAACACGCAACCATGCACATCATTTAATTAGGAATCGAACGAAGTCCAACTATGCCTCATGTTTCTTTTGTTTCATAAAATAATTTCATTTACACTCATCACTATTCCCATAAAACACATATACTTTCCATTGAAAGTTTAGTTTACCCCTATTTACCTATTAGTTTGTGTTCAATTTATCATATCATATTTATTCATTAATAATCTATTCATTTCATCACACTTTTCTAAAATACATCCAAGTGCAAACTTTGAAAGTTAATATATACTTCTTAAATTTGTCAAAAATAAAAACAAAATTATTTGTCGAAACGAATGAAGTATGTACTAAGATGCTTCGAGTATTCTTTTTATTGAGAATAATTGTATTACAAACAATTATCACTAACAATATTTATTAGTGTGACACTCTAATCGACAACAACTGTGGCTTAAAAATATAAACTATTGTTTTTGTTGGTTATAACTCAATTAGTAAGAATATTATAACTAACATCATAACTAATGCCAACGAACAATATGTCATTACATCTGACAAATGCTATTAATAATCTTAATTGAATTCCTTTTATTTATTATTTATTCATAAATACTTTGCTAGTCTATTAATAAATAAAAGTAAATATGATAAATCACAATTTTTTGACATAGTGAGTATTTTTTTGTGCCTATAAACTGATCAAAACTACTTATAAGCATTTTTTAAATTTTTAAGTCGATTGATAACATATTTATCTTTATGTATAAATTGAATTATAAGTTGCTTATAAGCTATAAGAATTAACTAATTTTATCTATGTATTTTTTAAATCAATTTTTTCATTTCTTTATTTTAACCATAATATTTTACAAAATCACTATTTATGAATATTCTCAAATAAGTTATTATGATTATGATCATTTTATTTGTACAAAAAAATAGTAATTAACTTTTAAACAATGTGTAAGTTAAATCTATTTATGAGTAATATCCCACCCATCTTCCTCAATTCGGACAGTTTCATATCCGCCACACTCTCTTCCCATCTCAAACTCCTGATCGCACATGGCGCATTTGATCAAGAACTTCAAGGTCCCGCCGAACTCGACGAGCCTGGAGGAGGCTCGCCGGAGGACGTTCGACTTCTTCCGGATGTGCTGCAGATCCATTCCTCAGATCATGGAGATTTACAACTTGCAGGACGTCGTGACCCCCTCGCATCTCCGCTCCTCCGTTGCTTCGGAATTCCGCAGGAATTCCAAAATCACTAACCCTAAGGTAATTTTTTAAGTCTGTAAACGTTTATAGGAAGAAAAAACCGGCAAAATCAGCGATCTAGCAGTAGTTCAGTTCATTTGGGAAGTCAATTTAATTGTTCGCATGAAAATTAAATGTGAGCATAATTTAATTTCCGTGGACGGGGGGTTTTGGGGTTTGGTGATATTTGAAACACTCAATTGAAAATTAGCTCTTAATATTAGGCTTTAGCTTTAGATTTTAATTTAGTCTGGTGGAAAGTTTGTTTTTTTTGGTTCATTGTCCCTGGTTTTTACTTTTAAAGGTTAGCATATAAGTTATCAAAATTGCTGATTGTCTGTTATGGCTTTATCTAGTCATGGTTAAATCTGTCCGTGAAAAGTGAAATATTTTGAAGTTTCTTAGAAATGCAAGGCAAAGGGATGACACAATTACGACAATTCGAGGGAATTATCTTGGGGTTAGGAAATTTAGGGATGGTTGTATGTTGTTACTTCTTGGGGAACATTTAGAGCTTTCAGTTGGTTGCAAGATGGGGTTGAGGAATTGCGCCCCTGTGGGCCTTCGTTGGTTAAATTGCACACGATAAACCAGCCGGTCTAGCCGAGGCTGACCATAGGCCACTTGTTCTCGTAACTTCACATCATGCCTAGTCTGGCAGTCTGGCCCACCTCGGGCTCTAGGGCGAGCATTTGTTAAGGTCGGCCTCCTCTTCTACGGGGCCATGCCTACTTTCTTGGGCTCTGGCACTCTTCTTTTGGCGTGATACCCCTAGTCCAGAGTATCCATTAGATGTATAGTGGTTAGCAAGAGAGAGTTTAGTGGATGGAAACAAAAAAAGGAGCATCAAACTTTAGTATAGTAATCACATTTTTATGTTGAAAAATGGGAGAAAATGGGCAAAAACACAAATACATAACTTGTAGGATGTCAACATTGTGCCCAATTTTTTGTACCATAAGAATTCTTATCCTCTATTCCTAGTGTGGGCTTCCATCTATCTATAAATTTATCTCATCATCAGATCATCTGCAATCTTCATATGTGGATCAATAGAACATTATTCAAAGGGGTTATGATGATGTTTAAGTTGACATATGGGAAAGTTATAATTATTTATTCAGAAAATGCGGCTACGGTGTAATAATGTGAGGAGTTGAGGAGATCAATCCAAGCGGAATGAATGTAATAAACAAATTACAAATATTGGAGGTTGTAAATGTGAGTAATGTGAAGATGTCGATACCACAGGACCAATAGATTGAGGGAGAGTACTCTTCTTGTTTTGAGATCCATATTCATTTTCTTATGAAATCCATAAGAAAATGATTTCATTCCTTTTTCTTTGATAGCTTTTAAAATGGTTCTTTTGACACCCATCATGGGTGAAATAATATGACAGCCATGACATTTGAAGGCCCTGTGGTGCTCCATTCTACTTTGAAATAGTTCCTACCCCCCCCCCCCCCCACAAACCCTATAGCTCTCCAAGAGCCCCTAGTTCACCATTATGCTTAGTGTAGCATAACGGGTAGTTTGGGGGTACGATCCACTTTGGGGTCAAACGGAATAACATAGGACCTTCAAATGGCTTGGTGTCATATTATGACACTCATGACGAGTGTCAAAAGATTCCACCTCATTAAAATAATATGGAGTACATCCATTAATATGAATTGTTCCAGAATGCACTTGGTTTTAATTAGGCATTAGCTTATCAACTTGAAAGATGTTTGCTTTCACAATGTACATTACTCAAACAGATCATTGGACTGTGAGCATTTTAGGAAGGCCATATAGCTGCGATAAAGGTGGTAATCACTTGCACTAACTTCAACTATTAGTGACCTATTAGGATATGCCTACTTTTACAGTTTTGATGATAGTCTTTGATCCTTTCATTGCCTTTTTAAAGATCTTACAGAGTGAACTATCAGATGCTGAGTAATAATACCCTCTCCCGCTGTAGATGCAAATCCTGAAAGCTACTCCCTCCCCTGTACAACAACTTATGTACTGTTAAAAATTATTATCAGATCATCTCTTAAATTCAAGAAAGCATTTAATATTAATATCTCACCTTTGCATTTTAATTCTGAACTAAATACTCTATCAATTTTCAAATAAATGTGTCCAATCTGAAAATATTATATTTGTCCCCAAAAAACAAGTCCTATTTGATTAAAACTCAAAAGAATGTAATATTCATTATACTTGATGTACTTTGTTTGAAAAAAATTCCCAAACAAGTTACAAAGCATGTTAATTTTAGCAGAATAAATACTCCCTCCATCAGTCTGACCCCAAATGGATTTCCTATTGCAGTTAATGAAACATGACTCTGAAGTTATTTTCAATTCAATTTAAATAAATATTGGTGTAAGCATTAAAAAAATGTATATATTTAAGAACATCAAAGCTATATAAAACAAGATGTGACTTGACTATGTTATTATGGCAAATGGTTAACGAAAATAGGTAAAGAAAAAAGATATGGTTTGACATGTGAATAGTGCACCGTGCCATCTATTTGGGGACAAAGCGAGTATAATCTAGCTAAACATAAAGAGGCCGGTTCCNTAGTAGTATTTCTAATAGTTCCAGAAAGGGGGCACTCCATACATATTAAGTAAGGATAGTTTAGGTACAGCACTACATTTTTTTGCTAGATTTTAGTATGTTTAATGAGTTTTCTTAATGTACGTGCACAATCTTTAAATGCTTGCTCATTGTGCTTCCAACCCTTTTCTATTAAGGAATTAAAATGCCAATCAAAGTGCTCAGTTGAGCGGGGGAGGGGGGGGGGGGAGTCTCTTGGAAACAACCTCTCTATTTCCGAGTAGGGGTAACCGCGTAAGGTCCGCGTACATACACACTCTCCAATCCCTATTTTTGTGGGATTTTGCTGCGTTTGTTGTTGTACCTTTGTGAGTTGGGAATTTTGTGATTATATATGTACTCCCTTCATCCCAAATTCGATTGCTAGTTTGATTTCTCACGGTCTTCCATGTACCATTTTGTGTGTTAACAACTTTATTTGTACACAACTAAATATTTCAAAATTATTATTTCAAGTGAATCTAGTGCTAATTTGGGTCGGAGGGATGTTTTTTTTTCTCCTTTTAAAAAAAATCTTACCTACAGGTGATAGACATGCTGCTGTTCAAAGGGTTGGAAGAGCTGAAGAATGTGGTGGAGCATTCAAAGCAAAGGCATCACCTTATCGGCCAATACGTCACCGGTGGTCGTCAAGGTTTGGGGGCACAGAATGTGGCAGACCACCACGACGACACCAGCTCTGACTTCCTCAAGAACTTCTACAGGACCAACTACTTTTGATGGTCTCATCTCCTTTTAAAACATCACTCCATCTCAATAAAACAAAGCCCCCTTGCCTTTCGGATGATCAATCACTTATTTTCCTCTCAAGAAAGAAGGGACCAGCCATCAATGTCAATTGAGGTAAAATCGCTTGTTCTTGGAATCCTAAGTAGTTTGTTTCGCACCAAATTTGTGCTTCCGAGCACGCGCCAAAAATTTGTGCCAGTTTTATTTGTGGGAATATACTAAGTTTGTTGTTGTTGTAGTAAAAAAGTGACTTAGATACTAGTACATTGCCTGGGAAATGAACCAACCCATTTGATTTGGCTACTCTTCCACCCCTTGTCTGGCTAAAGAAATGGGTTTTGAATTTTTGTTTTTAATTTATAAGGTGCTTATAAGTTAAATATTCCTTTGTCGTGGTAAAATGACTAAAATGATATATAAGTCATTTAGGAATATTCATAAATGTTGATGGATAGTTTTGTAGATAATCTGGTCTAAACAAAGAAAGGAAAAAATTGGTACGGAGTATTAAAATACTTCGTAAATAGATAAGATCTATTTATTTTTTGGCTTATAAGTATAAAAAAACATGTTATCAGCTTATTTATAAGTTAGAAATAGTTTCCAAGTAATTTTAACCAATTTATAAACACAAAAAATACATCAATTTTGAAGAATTATTGCGGTTCTCGTCTTGTCCAACTCCATGGAGTTTGACTTTTTTTGGTGTAATAATCCTTTTGCTCATCGTTTTTTTAACACTCCCTAATCATAATTACAAAAAAATGCACTGTGCAATCATTGTTTGGGTGACCGTGCAATCAATTAACTTTAGCTTCCACTCAAAAAAGAAAATTAATTTAGCATAAAGGTAAAAAATTCAAGTCTAAAAAAATACTCATTTTTATTCATTTTTAATTTACTGCTCGCTATAATTTTTATGCTCGTACTCTCTCGTCATTAAAAGGTTTTCATGTTTTGTCTCTCTTTTATGAAACATTGAAACATCGACACTCTTTATTCACAAACAACGAAAAATTGTGCAATTAGAGGGGACACAAGGGTGAGTTATGGTCGGGACGGGGTATGGAGATTTTACTTGCGGAGTGGGGTTAGGAATAAAGAATTTTACAAACGGAGCACCATATGTATCTCGATTGCATTTGATGGTGTAAATTAACCAACCGGGTAAACAGTACTAGATTGGGTCTAAGATTGTTTACTTGATTCAAGAGAGTAAAGGATAAAAAAAAACACAGATTAACCGGGAAGACTGTAATTGGAAATACCTGTAGCCCAATCGTGATTCGAATATAATAGAGTACACGAGAGTTTCACACAAGGGTTTAATCAGTGGAATTCAGATCCCTTCCTTTGAGGGTAACACGAGTATTTATAGGAAGCTAAAGGAACAAGGCGTCGCACACCCACGTCAGACCATGTTCCTGGGTGGCGCGAGGTGATTGCATCTATCTTTTGGTGGCTTGTTCCATTCCTTTATTCCCTGGTCATCTAGCGAGGAAGGTGACTCCTTTGTCACGTAGCGTGTTGGATTGATTGCTTGAATATCTTTGGTGATCCCTCGTTGAATTTGGCCGCTACAGTCCAACTTCCTTTGGATTCTTCCATGCCGACACTTCCCAACCATAGAAATCATACCGGTTAGGTTTACGTGGGACGAGTTTATGGAGATTGGGGGTGAACAAGATGAGTCACGTAGTTTGACCGGTAGAGTAGTCGAGGAATACCGGTTAAACTTTTGACATCAACTGAAATAAACTTCTGTTGTTTAGGCTTCCCATTCCAGAAATTCAATCTTCACCGGTCAAATATTTGTCAGTCTTCCCTTGGACCGGTACTGGTGGAATGCATACACCAGCATTGTTGTAAGAAATGTTATAAAAAAATTATTGCAAGACTAATGTCTCGCAGAGCGGGCCCTTAATTTTTGTCGATTCTGAATTTTTTTTTAATGCAATATATTTTTCGGATCAAGTAAATATATTTCTAACACAATTTTTTTATCATTGGACAAAAACACCAAGGTAGAATAAATAATATTTGAGGAATTGAAAATATACTCAAAAATGTCTTTTTTATTTCCAAACATGTTGGCATGAAGAATAAGAAATTAAGTACTACTTTTCACCTCATTGAATAAAGGATAAGACAAATTCATTTACCATTCAACAACTTCGAGCACGGGTGTCAATAGTGTACTATCTTAAAAAAATATAATAGTTTTTTATGTTCTCGAATAAGTTCGAATAAGTGAAGTTCACTATATTCTTGAGGAATAACTTGTGTTAAGAATCAAGATCTTTAACTATTAGAACATCAACTTCATGTATTGTGGAGATATTATAATTTCTTGAGTCTCTAGTTTTACTTGTCATCAACATCAATGATACATTAGAAGTAGGCTCATTATATATGAAGTCTTACTTTTCAACAGCCTCAATGATACATTAGAAGTATGCTCATTATCCATAAAGTCTTTAGTTCTTCTAAATATCTGTGTTAAAACATTATGCTCATCTACCATATTTTTCAAATCTTTGACCAAACTTTTATCAGTAATCAAAGAATTATTCTCCCTACTGTGCGAAACAAATAGAACAATTTGTTTTTATTAGCATGTTAATAATGTTCCATGTGTATTATATTGTCAAACACATGTAAATAATATTTTTATTAAAAGAGTGTACTCAATAAAGTATTCGAGATACCTAAAATGAGTTATTTGTTTTCATATCTCGTTCTGTATACCATAAATATACAATTGTGTAAATTTTGGCCTTTCACCATATTGTGACATTAAACATGGTATGTGATGATGAATGTGTCCGCTGAGAGTACATTATTGCTCAACCATTATTGTGAGATGTATCAATATTTCTATTTATAAATGTTAATGAAAACATACAGTTGTATTTATTTAAATTTTTCATGGTAATGAGAACTCTTCACACCAAAACCATAAAATAAATTATAGAGCAAATCAGATGGTTTTCTTTACAAGAGACAATTAAACTTTTTCTTTTATGCAATAAATTGAAAACTTTAGATGTTTTGAATCTTTATTCATTTGATTCTTTCTTTATAGTTCATGTCATAACAAAGTTTCCCGAAACTCACACATAAATGCAAGATTCCCAAAATAGATTGTATCTGAAGGAAAAATAAAATATGATGTAGGCAGTCTTTTATATATATTTTGTTACATTGTTTATAATATTTTATACAAAAAGACAATAGTTGTATTATCATATTCAAAGAAATTAGTAGAATGGGTTTAAACATAAATCAATTCTCTTCTGTTTATTATGCACTAAGCGCGATGAAGCGTGTGTATAATTGTTTCGTGGTTGAAAAATTATAGATGATTTTTTGGGAAATATGTACTGGAACGTGTTTGCAAAGTACATTCTTTCTCGAACGTGTTCGATGATGCGAGTTTATAGCCGATGATGATCCATCTCCTTCTGTATTTGTAATAAGCATATTAAAATAAATATTATATTTTTTTTATCTAAAAACTTTAAATATATTTTTTTATCCACTAATATTTGTTACATTGATGTTGATGGTTCAATGAATAAATAAGAAAGAATATTACTTACTTATATTATTTTGACATAGATGTCAAAATAATTAGCACACTTTATATTTTTTAAGAATTAAATATAAAAGTAATTACATTTATAACAATTAATATTATACCATAAATATTTCGATTAGGATTACCAATTAATATTTAATTTCTTACACATAAATACTCACTTATCAAGTCTTGATCATTTTACAAAGTTATAAATGGAAATGATAATTTTTGTTACATGTAAATTTTTACAAAGCTATACATGGAAAAAATAATTTTAAAATGGAAAATACTAATTTTAAAATGGAACATACTTTTTATTTGATTTAGAATTTTTTATATATACGGAATAAAATTAATGCTCTATTAAATAAGCGTGCCCATAAAAATACATTTCCTTTTATATATTTGTTTCTTATTTTTAATAATTAGAAAATCTATCGAATTCGTATTAATTCAAAGCAAAAAAATCAAATGTAATTTCGTTTAGTCCTACCAATCTATCCGTTCTTAAAGTAAATTTATTTGTTTTGATTATAGTTTTTGAATAGGTGTTTTTTTAAAATTTCAAAATATACTATTTAATTTAAATATTTTCCAATTATGAATGAAAATATAAAAGCTTTTAAACGCAATTATATGGAGAAATTTGTGTGTAACAAATATGAAATTTAATTTCCGCATAATAAGTTTTTTTGTTAACTATTTTTTAAACATTATTTGCTAACATGACATGCTGATATGTTAAAAAGGTTGTCTAATAAGCACACCATATGTCACAATTCTAGAAGCCCAACCCGTTTGAAATATTGAGGAAGTCGATTTTGATGACGTGACTGATGAAGTGTCAAAAAAGGTTCCAGTCAGCACGCCAAATGTCGTAATTCTGAGAGTTCAACTCTTAAATATTATATATAATAAATGATAAATGATTTTCTTACAACAAATGCTACAGCAATGCGTTTGGAACACCTCCGGTGTTCCATTTACAAAATTAATTGTTCCTCTCACCTATAAACTCTCAACCCTAACGCACTCCCGTAGCTCCTCCAATTGCTCCAGTTTTTTTCGTGTCAAAAATCGGACTACAAAGTCAACAAAATCAAAGGTGGTCTAATTTGATGGGGCGCACTACAAACGGGTCCGGGTTTGGAAGTTTATCGGGGAGATTAGAGAGGTTAGGATTAATCAATTTTGTGAAGAGTAAGTCTAGGTGTCCTAAAAACATTGTTGTAACCTTTGTTCTAAAAACAAATTATTGTAAGATTAAGGCAGGACTCCGAACTATGATTGTCGAATAATGACGGGTGGTGATATTCGTGGGGAATTTTTGCGTGGGAGGAAAAAGAGAGGAAATAGAAGGGCCCAAAATCTAGCGTGGCGCAGCAGTCATCTTTTGGGTTGAATTAGCGGAGACGCGAAAATATAGAGACATTTCCATACACATTACAGAAAAAGCCCACTGTTTTAGAGAGAGAGAGAGAAAAGAAAGAGAGAGAATGCATACATATAATCATCCCGTATGAACAAACAACGCCAAACTCCAAAAGATATTTTCTTGCCTCCTCCCCACCCTCCTCCTCCTCCTCCTCCTCCTCCAAAGATCGCACCTTTAGCCTTTAGGGTTTCTTCGCACGCAATCTTTTCACCATCTCTCTCCCTGCATCCACCTCGCATACCCATGTGTATGCACTTATCTGCGGTTCGATTCTCTTGCTCTTTGTTCATTTCTTGATTCTTTGTGGTGGGTTTTCGTTTTTATGAATTCTTGCTGGGTTTTGAATTCGGGTTGACTATAATGTCCATTTCTGGATCTGCATTTTTTCCTTCTTATTCCGTGATTCTGAATGTTTTTCGTTTCAGGGCTTTTTTCTTCTCGTGTGAAGCCTTTTGGTTTGGAATTTCCCTCGATGCTGACGATAATTCTGGAATGAGGACCCGTGTTTGAATTCAAGAATTGGAACGAGAGAAGCCCGTAGTTTGTTTTCAATTTGAGGAATTTGCAGGGGAGAAAGAACGCAAATCTTTTATTTGTCTGTTTTTTTTAAATTTTTTTTTTGATTTGTTTGGGTTTTGAATATGCCTACATCCTGGGCTGATTCTGTTTCTGGGGCAGAGAACTCTGCTCCGGCTCCGTCCGTTCAATCTAAGGGAACCTATGTTCCACCACACCTGAGAAATAGACCGCCGGCCTCATCAGAACCCCCTAAACCTGCAACAGCTTCGTATGGAGGTCCGTCTGGAGGTGGCGGTGGAAGCAGGTGGGGTGGTCCTAGAAATGATTTCCGTTCTGGCTATGGAGGAGGTGGTGGTGGTTGGAATGCCAGAACTGGGAGTCAGCCACGCGAGTTTAACCCCTTTGGGGATGATGCGAATCAGCCCTTTGAGGAGCATGAGAATTCGGGGATTAATTTTGATGCCTACGAGGATATTCCCGTGGAGACGAGTGGGGACAATGTGCCTCCTCCCGTGAACACGTTTGCCGAGATTGATTTAGGGGAAGCGGTGAACAGTAACATCCGGAGGTGCAAGTATGTGAAGCCCACCCCGGTCCAGCGCAACGCTATCCCAATTGTACTGTCCGGAAGGGATTTGATGGCTTGTGCTCAGACCGGTTCTGGAAAGACGGCGGCTTTTTGCTTCCCAATCATTAGTGGAATCATGAGGGGTCAGTTTATAAGACCCCCAAGGCCACGCACGGCTTTGCCTCTGGCTCTCATTCTTTCCCCAACCAGGGAGCTCTCGTGCCAAGTGGGTTTCTTGTCGTTTGGTTTTTGGAAACCAGATTCTGCAGATACATATGTGACCTCTTTTATGTATTTGGTTTTGGTTTTTGCAGATTCATGAAGAGGCCAGGAAGTTTGCATACCAAACAGGAGTCAGGGTGGTTGTTGCCTACGGTGGAGCACCCATAAATCAACAGGTTCTATTTCTCTTCTCCTTGACAATGTGTTTGGCGTTTTGATGTCCTTATGTTGTTAATTGTTATAGAGCCCTTTGCATTTTCTTGGACCTACAACAGCTACCAAAAATGCCACAAAGTAAGATCTAGGAGGGTTAGTGTAAACTGTAAATAGATGGGTCTGCTTCAATCATGGGAGTACATACTTCATTTTCTTGGGCCTGTTTTAGGAAAATTTTCCCATAGGGGTCGGTCTGTTTGGATCATGGAAAATGTGCTAGGGGTAGAACTACAACAAACCCAATAAAACCCCACAAAAGTTAGAGTCGGGGTAGGGTGTGTGTACGTGGACCTTATCCGTATTCAGAAGTAGAGAGTTTGTTTCTTAAATGCTAGGGGTATAAAATAAGGGGAAAACTAGATGGAATTTAAAAAAAATTGGGGAAGCAAAAATTTGGTTGAAACATAATAAATCAGATTTAGATGTTTTTCCAAGCTCATTTTATTTATATAATTCTATTTTATAAAGACAACAACAACAACAACAAACCCATTAAAATCACTCAATAGTAGGGTCTGGAGAGGGTGTGTGTACTGTGTAGGAAAGCCTTACCCATACTTGGAAGTAGCTATTTTACTAAGACTAAGGGATATAAGTATATGTAAATTTTTAATGAAATTTGATTTTCATTCATGCTATGTATATTAACAGCTTCGCGAACTAGATAGAGGCGTGGATATACTTGTAGCAACCCCCGGGAGACTAGTGGACTTGCTAGAGAGGGCAAGAGTGTCTTTAGAGATGATAAGGTACTTGGCTTTAGATGAAGCAGACCGAATGTTGGACATGGGGTTTGAACCACAAATAAGGAAAATCGTTCAACAGACAGATATGCCCCCACCTGGTGTACGACAGACGATGCTCTTTAGTGCTACCTTCCCAAAAGAGATTCAGGTTTTCCTTCTTTTTCTTTTCTTACAATTATTTTATGCTTTTATTTGCACTTAATCTTCATCATTATGACATCCTTTAAATCCCAACTAGTTTTGGGCTAGTCACATGAAATTTGTATTGCCATTTACTCCCTATAAAAGCTTCACTTTCACTATTCGCGTGGTCAAACGATATCTTCTTTCATTACTTATTTACTCGAATCATTTGTTAGAATAGCATAATCACGACACCTGTTGTTTTGAAGAACTTTTGATGTAATCTTAAAATATGTAAGAAAAAATTAATGTTACACCAATATTCAAATAAATTGGTTTCAAAATAACTTAGGAACGAAGGGAGTATATATACTTCTGTCCCCAAAAGTAATAAGGGTTCTATTTGACAAATGCACACCTTTTTTCTTTTTTGCTTCAATAGCCATAAATCATGGAGCAATCACACCCATGAGGACACTCCTTGCCACACTCAAGTGGAGGCCACCCATATTGGGGGGAGGGGGTGTCCCGGTGGGCGTGCTGTATCATTTTTTGGTTTGTTTTGATTTGTTGGTCACTTGGTCTAGCTAAACTAAAATTAGTTCCTTTGATGAATCATATTTGAGATAAAAGTGTTTGAAACGTGACTTCTTAGGTACGGATGGAGTGATTGTTTAAAATTAGTTAACACAATAAACTCATGAACAACATGTCATCATAAATTGTCTCATTTTGGAGCAGTGAGATGAGATTCCGAAATTGCCCTTGAGTGGAAACGATCAAATTGTCAACGACTCTCATGTCCTATGTGCACATCGCGAAACAAGACCAATACAAACATATTCAAAATCAGATCATTCTATTCACTTATAGATTTTCATCTCGCCGCGCGGCTCTGGTTTTCTTGTTCTTGTTGGGGATATTTTTTTTCAGAGACTTTATTTGAATGCAGAGATTGGCTGTCGATTTTCTAGCGAATTACATATTTCTGGCTGTCGGAAGGGTTGGATCAAGCACTGATCTGATTGTCCAGAGGGTGGAATATGTTCAAGAGACTGACAAAAGAAGCCATTTAATGGATCTCCTCCTTGCACAAATGGCAAATGGCAAGGTAATGCTCCTTTAGAAAACACTACTAGTTGCCAACCCTATATTTTCTTGAACATTTTACAAACGAGCGGGATTCTTTGACACCGCTTGTTGGTGTCATAATATGACATCCGGGCCATTTGAGGGCCCTACAATGCTTTTGTTTGTCCCAATCCTACCTCTCCTACAACCCCTTAGCCCATGGGTTCTCTGTTATGCTACCCCCTCACAACCCCCCTAATCCATCCCGGGGAGCAGGGGGCGGAATAAACGGGTAGAAATCGCTTCGGGGTCGAATGGAGCACTGTAGGCGCATCAAATGGCTTAAGCGTCATGGTATGACACCCAATGTTGTTCATTTTTAATCAATAATTGTGTTTTACACAATTAATCTGCAGCAATGCCTTACCCTTGTTTTTGTGGAGACAAAGAAAGGCGCCGATTCTCTAGAACATTGGCTATCTATCAACGGTTTTCCCGCCACAGCCATACATGGCGATAGGACCCAGCAGGTTTTGATAGCTCTCTTACTCGTTACACCTTTTTATTTCTTGGTACATTGATTTTATTTCTTGGTACATTGAAAAATGAATGAATGTAGACATGACGCATGTCCATATTCATTCAACTTTGAATGTACCACAAAAAGTCATATTGCACGTTTTTTATAAACCTTCTATGGCTGATCCTGGAAGTTGTTTTTATGATGTTTGGTATTCAGGAAAGAGAACAGGCTCTCAGAGCTTTCAAAACCGGCAGGACGCCGATTCTGGTTGCCACCGACGTGGCGGCGCGCGGTCTCGACATTCCTCATGTCGCGCACGTGGTCAACTTTGACCTCCCAAACGACATCGACGACTACGTCCACCGCATCGGGCGAACCGGCCGCGCCGGAAAGACCGGGCTCGCCACCGCCTTCTTCAACGAGGGGAACTCGTCCATTGCGCGGGCGCTCTCCGACCTGATGCAGGAGGCGAACCAGGAAGTCCCCGCTTGGCTTTCCCGGTTCGCCGCGAGGTCGTCCTCCCACGGCGGCAGGAACCGCCGAGGCGGGGCCCGCTTCGGCGGCCGCGATTTCCGTAGGGACGGGCCTTTCGGCAGGGGCGGCGGTTCGGACTACTATCCCGGTGGTAATAACGGTTACGGCGGCGGGTATGGTAACGGCGCCGGCGTGGCCAGTGCGTGGGACTGAGAACCCCAACCAACATTGGTCGGATTCAGCAAAAGCCGAGGTTTTAGGTACTAGGAGAGAGAGATAATATAATACACTTCCTCAATGGGGAGATATATATATATATATATATATATATATATATATATATATATATATATATATATATTCCTCAGTTTTTACTAGATATTTGTGGTGGTTTTTTTTTTGTTTTGTTTGGGAATTGAAGATTTCTTGTGTTTTTGTAATATGAAGTTTTTGTTGTTGGATTTAAATTATGGGTTGAGGGAGGGTATGCATGTATGTGTAAATGTTGGCAGTCTTTGCATTAATTAATAAATAAATCTGCTAACACCTTGATTTGTATGTGATCCTTTTGCCACTCAAGTTTGTCACCTTTCGAAGTTCACAAGGGTATTTTTGACATCTTGTCTCAGCGTCATAATATGACATCATCTTAAATTGGTTCTTAACGTGCCAAAATAAAAACACATATGAAAGGATTAAAAAAAGGCAGTATAAGATGTGTAATATGGCTCTACTATGCACTTTTTTTTTATTTTGCAATAAACAAGATGCCTACCTATATAGGGTCTAAATTACAGCATTTTTGAACAAGAAAAATAATTAAATTGAAGAAAATTATAAAAATAAATTGTAGGTGCACTATAAGTGTGTCTTAAATATAACTTGCAATTAGCATTTTTTTTATTTTTTAAAAAAACAGATTATAATTATACATTCTTAAATATTTTAAAAACAAGTTTTTTTTTTAAAACCCAGGTGAAATGAATAATGGAATCTTGTAAGCTTAGGATGGAAACTAGCATAATTTGGGGAATTTATGGTTTCTTTAACTCCACGCCAAGCTAATTAAGTATTCCCCGGCCGGCCCCTCCCATGCATGCATTATATATCCATCCATGCATATTAATCTCTCTCTAATTATATTATGTTTCTCAATCCCAAACCACTCTAATTATTGCTTACAAAAATGGGTGCACCTTCATCATTTCTTCCTCTCCCCATTTTCTTGACTATATTATCCCTATTATTATCATCAGGTATTTTATTTTATATATAATCATTAATCTTCTGTTTTCTCTATATATGCCCTAGCCTGCTCATTCGTGGATTTACATCAAGGTGGTAGGTAAGCAGGCGACAAACTACACCGCCACCCCTTTCTGGATAGCAAACCCTATTTCACTAAAAACATATTCGTGAATTTCGAATATTTTTATGCACCGTATCAAAATAAAATTTATAATATCAATAGTACGTGTCAAGAATCATACTCCCAAATTTCAAGCGTTTCACGATGTTAACATCGATATTTAGTGTATAAAAGCATATATATAAATTGGTTTTTAGTATATATAAAAAGTATATTTAGTTTAATGTGAATTTAGTAAAATTAGATTTATTTTAAAATGTAGTTTAATTTTAAAATATCAAAATTTTATAATATTTAATTATTTTAAATTATGTTTAATTCGTGGTTAAAGGGTGCCACAATTCGATCAAAAAATCAATATGTGGTAATCTTTTAGGGACGAAAGGAGTACGTTTTAATCTTATTTTGATAGATAATTATACTAAAATACACTCCATCCATTTTAAAATTATACTCTGATCCCTCCGTTCCAGAAAGAATGTCACGTTTACTATTTTGGCCTCCCGATAACTTTTGTTTGTTTATTCATTTTGGTTGACCATTTGATAAAATAAAATATTCTTGTCGCATCTTGTTTTGTATAGTTTTTCATATACTTTTAAATGGTGTAATTTTTACTTTTTATTACTTTACCAATTTGAAATTAAAGTGATTTTAAAAGAGATGATATTTTAGACGTCGTTTGAAGTCGTTTGAAGTATCTTATATGTTACAATCTCACCAAATTATTGTGTTTCACAAATTATTTACTAGTTTACTTATGAAGACTGTTTTAATTGGTTGCTTTGACCATTCAAGGTGTAAGAATATGTGAGGGTGCCAGAGTTTTCACAATGGTAAACAACTGTAAGGAGACGATATGGCCGGCGGTGACCCCCGGCCAGAGCTTCAACGGCGGGGGGTTCACTCTGAAACCCGGCCAGTCGTTAGTCTTCACCGCTCCCGTGGCATGGAGCGGCCGAATCTGGGCCCGAACCGGGTGCAAGTTCGACAAGTCGGGCAACGGCACCTGCCAGACCGGCAGCTGCGGGACGTCCCTGAAGTGCGGGGCCTCCGGCGCGACCCCGGTCACGCTAGCCGAATTCACCCTCGCGTCCCCGGACTTCTACGACGTGAGCCTCGTCGACGGGTTCAACATCCCCGTGACGGTGAAGCCGCTGAACGGGAAGGGGAACTGCAGCGTGGCCGGGTGCGTCGCCGACCTGCGCCCGAACTGCCCGTCGGAGCTCGCGGTCAGAGGGGCCGGGGGGAAGACGGTCGCCTGCCGGAGCGCGTGCGACGTGTTCGACACCGACGAGTACTGCTGCAAGGGCATTTATGGAAACCCGACGACTTGCCAGCCGACGTACTACTCGAAGAAGTTCAAGCAGTCTTGCCCTAAAGCTTATAGCTATGCATATGATGACCCTTCGAGTATTTTCACTTGCTCTGGGACTGATTATGTTGTTTCTTTCTGCACTTCCAAGTACGTTTCTTTCCATTTGACTTTTCACGGTCTTTAATGTTGCACTTTGATCATTAATTAATATCAATATTTATACATAGGTATATAATATAAATTTTGATATTTCAAAACTACATTTCATTAGGAATATATTGATATTAAATTTGTATCATAATACAGTGTATTTCTTTCACAAATCAGGGTCGAAGTTTACAAAATTGACTAAGAAAAGTCAAATGTGAAGAAAATTTTCGGACAGAATTGAAGGAGTACTTCCTTTTCAAATTTTAGAAACTACTACCTCCGATTCTCAAAAGAGTTCCTCTTTTGACTTTGGGGGGAAATAAGGAAGTGTTAAATTGTAGTTGACTTTCCAATTTTGTCCTTGATGTGATGGGTAAAAGTAAGATGTACTCCGTAATAGTTTAGTTGTTAATGAAAAAGTATGATGTGATAGGTAGGGTATGAAAAAGTAGGGGTAAAAGTGGTTTTTTAATAGAAAGGGGAAGTGTTTTAAGAAAAACAAAAAAAATGAAAGAGAAATGGTTTTAAGAAACGGAGGGAGTATAACAAAGAAAATGCAAACAATCTAATTTAGTGAATATTTCGATTACTTGTTAAGCTAATCAAATCTGCTTATTACTATAAAATGTTTATAAAGATGATTACAGTGGGTTCCCATGACATTGGAATTTCATGTCATAGGATGACCCAGGAGCGTTCCGGTGTCCCGTTCGTAAATTGATACTTTCTACCCTCTAATTCCTCCGGTAAACCTCTCCACCCTGTCTTGAACAAAACACACCTTCACCCCCAAGTTAATTTTGACTCCAAAGTCAAAATTAACTTGGAAGTGCAACTGAAAGGCCAGGGTGGGGGTGTGTTCCAGTTGGACGGGGTGAGGTGGTTACCGGGATAGGTTAGCAGGGTAGAAACAGTCAATTTTACGAATGGAACACCAGAGCGCTCCGAATCATTCCATGACATTGCCAGACAATGTCATGGGAATTGCCGGTAAAGATTATTGTGTATGATTATGAAAATTTTGAAAATTTCAGGACGGGAAGGGTATGTACGTACCACGAACACAATGTCCGTTGCAGTGGATCAAATGGGTTGAGAGCATTCTTCGAAGGATTCTTCATTATCCTTGCAGCTAATATATGGAACATTATTCTTTAGAATTGAGGAAAAATTGCATGCCAACATTTTTAAACATTTTAGATTTTACATAAATATAACTCCAGATTGCATAATTATTAGTGAAATTTGCACATTTCTTAATTCCCAATGTAGTACTTAAGCTTTATTATTCGTTAAACAGTACTTGAATAATGTCTAGTTGTAGAAACAATGTTCATTGATGGTGGATATTTACTTTGAACAATGTCCTGATGGTGGGTGTTTACTTGAACAATGACCAATAGACAATGAAAGTAACTATGTTTTAGTATTATTTAGATAAATTTTCCTAATTATTATCGATGCTTCAAGCTAAGAAATTTAATAATTTATAATCTGGTAGAAATTCAAGAGAATTTTTTTATTTGGATTGGTCCCTCAGATTTTTGAGACTTACTAGTATCACACTCATGCGTTGCACATGTCATTTTTATGTTATTAAATTCAAATCATTTTTCAATGATAAAAATGAGATGCAATAGAATATAGAGATTATGTTATTTTAAGGGAAGAAACGTCAATGTTTTACAAATTTCGAAAAATTTCTTTATAGACTATATTATTTGTACAATTTGTGGGAATATTGTCTTCATTGCATATCAGAATCCTCAACCCGGTCTGTACAATAAGTTGGAAGTATTTCTTACTTCTACCATGCAGTCTCAATTATAAAGCATTTGGAAGCTAATAAAAAAATCATAATAATCGTGACCGACGGGCGACGACAGTCTTAGCTCTGATGGATATAGGCGGTGCGATATATCTGCAAGGCGGGAGAGATAGAGGCGGCACTCTGTGTGTAATTGTATAGTAAAATTTGGTAAGAATAAAATAATTATTCTTACCATAATTATTTTTTATATGAAATTTAATGTATAATTGTATAACTTTTAATTACTTCGAATTTTCTAAATCTTAGGCTTTGCAATTGTTTAACTTACCTTTATTTAAAACTTACGATTTGGAATTGTATAATAGACAATAGGCTAATACCTTATTTAAAACGTACGTTAATAATGTATGTTAGATTTTAATTTTTAATACGTTAATTACTATAAATATTATAATTATATTTATAATTAAGTCACACTCCATATAAATAGCATCACCAAATTCCTTTTTATATTTTATAAAAAGGAAATTACCTTTATTTAAAACTTACGTTAATAACGTATGTTAGATTTTAATTTTTAATACGTTAATTACTATAAATATAACTGTTCGTTTATTATCGCTTTTAAAACTGTTAATACCGGGTGATAAAACTGTTCGTTTATTATAGCTTTTAAACCATTATATTAGATTAATTTTTTAGCTTAATAATAATAATTATCTTTTAGATTAATAATTAATTACCAATTATAAACGGTGTCATATTATTTGTTCCTTTTTTTAAAATGATTACGTGTTAATATTGGTTATTACCGTGTGATAAAAAAGGAAGAGTATATATTATAGGTTTTAAACCATTTTTTAGACTAATAATAATAATTATTTGTAATAATTAACTTGCCATTTGTAAATGTATTAATGCATGGAAAATTAAGCACATGCACAGGTTTTTAATAATTATTATTATATTTTCGGCAACTTACCATTTTAAGTGTACAATTGTCATTTGTTAATGTAATAAAAATTACCATTTTAAGTAAACAATTGCCATTTTTTGAACATTTAATAACGCAAGGAAAATTAAGCACAGGCATAAATAGGAAATATTTATTATTATATTTTCGGCAACTTACCATTTTATAGTGAACAATTGCCATTTGTTAATGTAATAAAAATTACCATTTTAAGTGAACAATTGCCATTTTTTGAACATTTAATAACACACGGAAAATTAAGCACAGGCGTAAATAGGAAATATTTATTATTATATTTTCGACATCTTACCATTTTAAGTGAACAATTGTCATTTGTTAATGTAATAAAAATTACCATTTTAAGTGAACAATTTTCATTTTTTGAACATTTAATAATCCAAGGAAAATTAAGCACATGCGTAAATAGGAAATATTTATTATTATATTTTCGGCAGCTTATCATTTTAAGTGAACAATTGCCATTTGTTAATGTAATATCGTATGGGCGGGAAAAACAAATGTTGACTCAATGACTTTTTAAATAAAGTATGGATTTGTGGTCTATATATATATATATATATATATATGTATGTATGTATGTATGTATGTATGTATGTATGTATGCATGCATGGATGTATGTATGTATGTATGTATGTATGTATGTATGTATGTATGTATGTAATCTTGGACTATTATTATAAAAATGCTGAATTTGTAGGAGCATTGATGATGATTACACAATGTTGGAATATTCACTTGTACTTGTAGACTTTTTGAAATATTGAGATGAATTTTTCGTAGAATTAATTATATCATTTTACGTAATTATTTTAACACACATTTGTTTTAAAAAAAACTAAAACGTTTACGTTGTAATTAATCAAGGATTCGTGACGGAATTTGGATGCGACATAACATGTACAAAATGTAACACCTCAACCCGCATGACTCGAATACAAGGACCAGCGGATCGGGTTGTCACTAAATTGGCATTCAGACACAATAATTTTCAAAACGATTTAAAAACATGTAATTCAAAACATTATTTAAACATCCATCGGAGTAAATCAAAACGGTGCGGAAGCCTTTAAGTACAAACTCAAAATACAACCTTGGGTTCTTGCCCTTCAAAACATAAATAATTCAAGCTTAAGTATTAAATAATAAACTCCACCAACTAGCATACATCCACCTCTCTGCCCTCGCTGCCCTCTAGGATAATTCCTTATTCATCATTCATGTTATCTACGTGTGGCAAATAGGAAAAAGGGCTACACGCTCAGCATTGAAGCTAAGTGAGAACTATCTAACGTTTCGACTACGCACATAGACGAACCCACTAGCTCATAACTTCATACAATATCATGCACACAAGTATACAGTATAATATCACACAATAGTCATTAAATAAATTCACAAGTAACAATTCATTACCTTATCTGTCTTCATTCATAGCTCATAATACAATTACAAGGCTAAGACCATACTTCCTTATTTACAACCTTATGTTCGGACTTAGAGTCACTACCTACGGCCATGACTCAAGTCTACCTTATGACACAACACAACCTGATGACCAACGAAGGAGTTCTCCGCTGGGTGGGTGGTACCTTTGTCTCCTTCGGAACGACAGTTCTTGGATCCCGTACGTACGTTTTAACCCGCAGCCGTCGGATATCATATCCGCATGGCTAATCCTACCTATTGACATTTATGCTTACGATCTTACTAAGGCCGTCCTAGAGTTCCCCTAGGTAGCCTAATCACTTATTTGCAACATCTCTTCAATTCAGACTTATTCTAACATCAATCACAGTTCCTTGTGTACTTTTAAAACACCACAGGATTATATTTAATTATAACAGAAAGGTTACAATAATCAGGTAATCAATCAAGCAACTCATTTAGCGGCCTAGTGTCAGGTGTAAACACCTTCCACTTACCGTCATGCAACACACAAGGCATAGGGAACAATCCAGAAGTTGAAACAGAGCAAACAGACGAAGAATCGATCGATCAGTCTGCCGGTCCGATACCCCTTACGGTACCTCAGTATCGTCGGTCCGGTACCCCCGTACCGTGCGGGCGCAGGTACCGGCAGTGGCAACCTTCAGTTGTAACACCCCAACCCGCGTAACCCGGATAAATAGGTTAGCGAACCGGGTTGTTACTAAATTGGTATCCACACACAATATTTCCAATAAATCAAAAAAACATTTAATTAAACATCCAAACATTTCAATTAGAACTTAAACGTTTATCGGAGTTAATTCAAAACAGCACGGAAGCGAAACTGTTATTTTAGATAAACATCTTTAATAGATCATTATCAGAAAACGAGTTACAGTACAACCATCATATGTGTTAACGGTTCGAGTACTGCATCCGTACATCTCCTCCGTCTCTGTGCCCTCCAGGATTAGCTCGTTATTACCTACGTGTAGAAAGACAGAACAAACTACACGCTCAGCGATAAGCTGAGTGAGAAATATCTAACAGTTCGAACATACACTTAGATGAATCCACTAATTCACAATTATCACGTGATATCATGCACACAACATGCTAGGCAACGATCATACGACATACAAGATATAACATGCATAGTCAACATTTATTTCCGCTCATCATGCACACAAGTATAGTCATATTTAATATTCGAAACATCCTACGATATTCATATTCATTTATCCAAATCACATCTCTTAACCTATGATGGCTAAGGCAATTCATATACCTATGAGTCATGGCACCCCAAGCGATGCTATAAAAGGGCCAGCTCTAGAAAACCCAAAGGAGATTCACTCTGGGCGGGTTGAAGCCCCCGTCTCTGCGATGCCAAGACAGTTCAAGGACTTCCGTACGTACGTTTTTAACCCAAGACCACCGGGTGTGCGACGACGCCCCGCAATGGCCTGAACTCTAGACTCATCCTATTGGTGATCCAATCATTCAATCCAATTCAGGTCCGCCTAATTAAACTAGGTGGCCTATTTCCAATATTATTCACAATTCACAATAATCACCAATGAGATTAATTTAGTTCACACTCAATTCATTATTCAGCAACATATCAAATAGCGGCCTATCAGAACCAAAGGCCCATGATTACCGTCATGCTCACATGGAATCTCAGAATCAATCCTAGACAAAGACACAGATCAACAGAGCATCAACCAATAACAATTCTCATAACAACAACACCAATAGGTTCATATTAATGTCCTAAACATTACCAAGCACCTTAACTAGACAATCAATGCCTAAGTCACGCATACTACCCTTTTCGACTCAATGGCAACAATTCCCAAAACCACAATCAACAATTATAAGGATAAATCAAATAGATCAACCACGATAATAATTATGAACAGAATTTCAAACCTAAATGCATATTCTAGTGTTAGATGTCCACGTGCTCACCTCGTTGGTTCGATTCAGTTCCAAGGAACGTCACTCGGAGCCCGTCACCGGGTTGGTCATCGAAACTTTTTTTCTGCCGGATCAACTTGCTGCCCGAACCCAGTCACTCAAGGCCCAGACTTCGCCAGTCGTTGGAGGTCACTCGCCGGAGCACCCCGCCGTTTAATCGCCGGAATTCGCTGCTGCTCCCCACGTCATCGACAAAATTGCAATCGCCGGAAAAGTGGAGGGTTACCGGTCGTCGCTGCATCACAGCTGGCGCACCCCTCGCTGGCGCTGCTTCTGCTCGGGTCCAATCGCGAGGTCGCGTTGCCGGTGGAGGGGGGGAGGTTAAGGATCGTCGTTCTCTGTCGTCGCCTCGCCGTCGTGCCTGAGTCGCCGTCATCGCTGGGTGGACGGGGGAAATTGTCTCCCGGCGTTGGCGCTGCTGCTGGTGGATGGAAGGATGAGGTTTGCTGCGGCGCTGGTCTCAATCGAAGAAGAAGCCGGAACAGAGACGCGTAAACAGGTATATAAATGCCTAGGGTTTTGTACTCCTTAATTTAAAATAACGTGTCTGAGTAAAAACACGTTTTTCGGGCCAACTTGCTCCGAATTGAGATCCGTTCGCGTCGTTAGATTCGATTCGTCGATCCCTAGCCGATGGTATAACTTTTATATTCAATTGACAACATTTATACGTTCCACTTGATCCGTCTTGATTCTTTCGATTAATTAGTACTGATTAGCCTTTTACTTTAAATCTTTACAAATATAATTAGATTAGTTTTGTTATATTGAGATGACTAGAATCTCTAAAATATCTTTTAATTCTTTAAAAGAATAGATTATTGTAATTAAATAATTCTTATTCTTATTTATTTAATTAATGGTTAACTTCTATACCGATTTTCAGGGTGTTACATCAGTGGCGGAAGTACGGTACCGCTAGGCGGTACCTAGCTACCGTCTGACATCGGGAAGTCACCGGAACGACAGATTTCGATCCAATTCCAAATCATACAATATGTACAACGTTTTAAAAGATTATTATCATGCAAACCTACACAATTTAGAGTAAGAATACATACCTGGTCATCCTCGTTCAATCAATTCCAATATTATCATAAAATATAAATAAATCACAATTCAATTATAAACAAATAAACCATGTAATCAATCATACAAAACTACGAACGTCAATTTCAAATCTATATACATAATCTAGCGTTAGATGTTCAAGTTCTGATCTCGATTAATTGACGAATTAAACAAATCAAATTCTCAAAAGTGAGAATTTGATTCCTTTTTCACCAAAATCCCCACCCTCCAAAGGGCATCAGACAACACATTCTGCACCAAGTCGTGTCGGTACTTAAACTCGGAGAGCTCTTTAGAGTGCATCGCATGTTCCTTGTTAGAGTTTATCCCACATCGGAAATTGAATAGAAAAGTTATCGGTATATAAGGTCTTGACTTGAACTAAATAACTGATTGGATTCAATCTTTTAATGTGGTTCAGCCCAAGTGTCTTATAGCCCAATCCAGTTGTCTGTACCCCATCCTAAATTATATCATGGTATCGGAGCAGGTTTTGGCCCACCTCGTTTGTCAAGGTGTCCGTCTAGACCTTCATTCCTAGCGGTCCGTTAGTCTTTATCCCAGATGTCCGTATGGAGTGTGTACCCAACGGCCTGTGGCCTGTTTAACACGATTGCTCGTCTGGAAGTCCATACCCAGCGGCTCGTGGTCTTTAGGTGTTGGCGCTCAAAAAAAAGTCAAGGGATTGAGAGTTCATTTGCAAGTGGTCAACCGGTTAGATTCAAAATGGCCCAGCTGTCCACTTGAGGGGGAGTGTTAGAGTTTATCCCACATCAAAAATTGAATAGAAAAGTTATCGGTATATAAGGTCTTGAGTTGAACTAAATAATTGATTGGATTCAATCTTTTAATGTGGTTCAGCTCGAGTGTCTTATAGCCCAATCCAGTTGTCTGTACCACATCCTAAATTCTATCTCAAACATCTCCAAGACGACCTTATGACACACAGCGGGATCATTAGACGATATTTCAGTTTGAGCTCCACACTGAGCGGATGCAGATCTAGGTGTTGACAGCGATTGAATAACTATGAAGTTTTTGAATGAAATCAAATGTTCGAGAATCCCAAACCACAAAATAGTTTTGACAAAAAGGGTACCGATTGTGCTTTTGACAAACATTGACCAAACATCTAGATTGTGTAATGAAAAAAGATTAATTTTTCAAGGGCTACAAAATAATGTTATCGGTGCAATTGTGGGTTCGGAAAATCGATTTGAGAAAAAGGTATACGTCCCTAGAATGCATTTGATACCATCTGATCCAGGACTACCAAAGAAGAAAATTTTCGATCGTCTTATGTTTTGCTATGACTATCAACAAAAGTCAAGGTCATACATTCTCGTTTGTGGGATTCTTTTTAACCAAGTCGGTGTTTACAAATGGTCAACTTTATGTTGTTGTTTTACAAGTGAAGACAAAAACAGGATTAAAAATATTAGTCCTACATGACAATGAAAACTCTTGCAATCATACCGAAAATGTTGTATACCGTTAAGTCTTTCATAAAACTTGGCATTAAATAAACATTGTTGAGTGTACGTTCAATTTGTCAAATATTATTTATTCTATTTTGGAATTTTTTATCTGTAATATTAAAAATAATGTGAGAAATATATTTTTTTTTTTCATTGAAAAAAAAGTTGAATCGATAAAAGTTTTGTATAACCCGAACAAAATACTAGAGTACAATTTAAATATAACTATATGTCATCGAGTTGCTAATATCACATTATCACGATTTAACAATTTGGATTTCCAGCTCCAAAGTAATTAAGTAGAGTACTGCTCAGTAATAAACAGTAGGCTGGATTAGTAACAAACTAACAACACCTTGGTTCCCATCACATTGGGAACCAATGTCATGGGATGACCCGAGGGCGCTCCGGTGCCCCGTTCGTAAAATTGACGGTTCCTACCCCCCGATAAACCCCCCCACCCCGCCCCGACCCGAACGCACCCCCCACCCCCTTCAATTGCACCCCACAAGTTGATTTTGACTTTGGAGTGAAATTTTAACTCCAAAGTCAAAATCAACTTGTGGGGTGCAATTGAAGGGGGTGAGGGGGTGCGTTCGGGTCGGGGCGGGGTGGGGGGGTTTACCGGGGGGTTAGGGGGGTAGAAACCGTCAATTTTACGAACGGGGCACCGAAACGCCCCCGGGTCATCCAATGGCATTGGTTCCGAATGTCATGGGAACCTTGCCCAACTAACAATTAATTCCGCTGTAGCACTGGCTATTAGAATCTAAAATCTTTGGAATCATCTCGGGGTTCGAACCCCGGCAGCGGAGTTTTCTTTTTTCTTTTTTTTTAGCCCTCAAATTTTCAGTTTTTCCATGGCAGTTTATGAACTGCATCTTCTTTTCTTCAAACTTGTAAACTGTCCCGAATGCTGAACGCATCATCTCCGGCGTCTCTTCTTCTCCGACGGAATTCCATTTTGAGCTCCATCCTCGACGACTGCAAGTCGATGCGAGATCTAAACCAGATTCATGGACTCGTAGTCGCCTCCGGCCTCTCCCAAGACACCCATATCGTCTCCAAAATCCTCTCTTTCTCTGCGGTTTCTGACTCCGGAGACCTCTGTTACTCCTCCCGCGTCCTGTTCTCCCTCGTCTCCCCAAGAATCTTTCACTGGAACGCAGTCATCAGAGGGTACTCCAAGAGCAGAAACCCCAACGGGTCCGTCTCCGTTTTCATCAGAATGTTGAGATCTGGAGCGTTTCCTGACTATTTGACCTACCCATTTCTGGCGAAGGCATGCTCTCGCCTTCTGAATCCGGAATTGGGCTGCTCTGTTCATGCGCATATTGTGAGGAATGGGTTTGAGGCTGATGGGTTTGTTTCGAATTCTTTGATTCATATGTACGCTTCATTTGGAGATGTTGTGCTTGCCCGGAAGGCGTTCGACGGAATGCCTCTGAAGAATCCGGTTTCTTGGAATTCCATGGTGGATGGGTATGCCAAATGTGGGGAGCTGGGATCGGCACGCCAGCTGTTTGATTCAATGCCGCGGAGAGATGTCTTGTCCTGGAGCTGTTTGATTGATGGGTACGTCAAGAGCGGGGATTACCGAGGTGCTATGGCTGTTTTTGATCAAATGTGTGGCTCAGGCGTGAAGCCCAACGAGGTCACCATGGTGAGTGTGTTGTGTGCTTGTTCTCACCTAGGTGCGCTTGACCGAGGAAGAGCGTTGCACCAATATGCGGTCGACAACAACTTGCCATTGACAATCATCCTACGCACCTCCCTCGTAGACATGTATGCCAAATGTGGGGCAATCAATGAGGCGTTCGACATGTTTCGTCGCGTTCGGGTCGAAACCTTTGACGTACTTCTTTGGAACGCCATGATCCGAGGGCTCGCGACGCACGGATTGGTCAAAGAATCACTTGATTTGTTCAAAGAAATGAAATCGAGCAATAGAATCAGGCCAGACGAGATAACGTATTTGAGCTTATTGCATGCTTGTGCACACGGCGGGCTAGTAAGCGAAGCTTGGCACTTCTTTGAGTGCCTCAAGGAACAAGGCATGGTTCCCAAGATTGAGCACTTCGCTTGTATGGTGGACGTTATGGCCCGTGCCGGTCAAACAACGGAAGCGTACCATTTCCTATGCCAAATGCCCATAGAGCCAACGCCTTCCATGTTGGGGGCTCTAATGAATGGGTGCATGAACCACGGGAAGCTGGAGCTCGCGGAAATGCTCGGTAAGAGGCTCGTTGAGATGGACCCGACCCATGATGGTAGGCACGTGGGCTTGGCGAATGTTTATGCCACCGATCAACGGTGGGGCGAAGCCAGAAGCACGAGACAAAGGATGGAGAGGATGGGGGTGAGGAAGTGTCCTGGTTTTAGCTTGGTTGAGATTGATCAAGCTCTTCATAGATTCATTGCACATGATAAATCACATCCAAGTTATGAGGTTATATGTATGATGTTGAGTTTGCTTGGTAGCCAAATGAGACCCCATGAAAATCAAGACGTTTTATTGTTTGAATGCTAATGTTAATAATATACTCTATCACAATTCCTTTTGACAACGGTTTTTGGGCGTCATATTATGACCCAAAGGGGTTTCTATCTGTTCTATCGACCCTCAAAAAATGTACTCCTAAAATCATTTCTCACTTCCTTTTTTTCTCCGTCCTAAAATTATCTTCCCACTTCTTCAAAAAAAGTATGAATTGTCTATTTTACCCCTCTTTCCCCTTTCTCAACCTCCTCTCATCTTCCGTCTTTTTTCTCCCTCCTCCCCTCAAAATTAGATCTAATGTTTTTCTCTTTCTATCTTGAGATCTAGATGTAATAGTTTCTCTTCCTCCAACATAGATCTCATCTTCCCTCCACCATTGCCGATCAGACCGCCCTAAGAAGGTAAGCCATGCCGTCTGAAAAAGATGGATCCGTGTGTTTTAGATCGCAACGGTCGCCGCGCAGAGAGAGACTACGGCCAACGTCGCCACTCCAATGTTGTGATGGCGCCACTCCACCGTCGTTGTCGCCACTACACCGTCGCCTTCGCCACTCCGTTTTAAATTCAGTGAAGATGCAGCAAATCCCCCATATCTGCTTTCTCTCTTCTGTCACACTCTTTTCTTCCTTTTTGAAGATGTTTTTGTCTCGAATTCTTCATCTTGTTGTAATTTTGATTTTTTATTTTGATTTAGAACCTAATGTTGATTCAAGAATCATGCCTCTGCGTATTGAAAGAAGAACACACCAAGAAAGAAGGCAACTGACTTTTGTTTAGTTTCGGTCCAGTGTTGAGGGGGAGAAAGAAGATTTAGGGGGCATTTTGGGAAAGTCAACTCAATTTTTACACTATCTTAAAAACCACCTTCGGTCAAACCGGGAAGTTGGTTTTAGGACGGAGGGAGTCACTCAATTTTTACCCATAAGGGTGATGAGTGTTGGCTCGGGATGGGCTTCGGGAAAATGACATTGTCGGTATCAGGAAACCGCCCCTCGATCGGTGTTCAACGAAATCGGCTTCTTCGTCCTTAATTTCTTGATCAAATTTTGACCATTCCCAACTGTCCAAATAAAATTTCAAAAAAAAACTTTTTTTTCCTCTCATTTTTGAAATTTACATCCATTCTATTTCATTCCACACTAAAGTTACACTCGGCATCCAATGTGCATCCGACCCACAAACGACATCGTTTTTGTGTCCCAAGACGATGAAGTGGAGGTTGTGCCCGAGACACAACCCCGAAAATAAATGAAAGGGAAAGCAAAAAAGTGGAACCAAGAAGAAGTGGTCACACCGTCAGAGCGCCTCCAAATCATATACGGCAACTGAGGAGCACTGGTAATGGGCATAACGCCCGGGGCGTTATTGCCCCTTTTAACGCCAAAGGGGCAGCAAACACCGCCCCCTTGGGGCTTTATACGGGCTTCATCCCTTGTGCTTCAAAGCTTTAACGGGCTTCAAATCCCTCCCCACTCTCTCTTTAAAAAAATATACACAAACATAATTTTTTTTACTCTATATTTTGTTGTTTAATGTAATATTTCTTTGTTTAAATTTCTTTTAGTAATGTAATTTTTTTTTGTTTTTTTTAATTTAACATACTTTTTTTATTGACTGTATTTTTTATTTAATGAATTATTTCATTTTGCAATATGTTACTACAGCTCGGATTTAAATGAAGATATTTTTAGTCGCTCGAATAATTAGTAATTTCTTTGTAGTGCTGTTTTTATGGATGTAATATTTTTTTAAATGAATGTAATTTTTTATATGAATGTATTCTTTTATGAAGTAATATTTTTTTAATGCACTAGTCTCCTTTTGATTAATTTAAATAATAAATTAATTAAACTTTATTAATTTAAATTTAGAAGAAGTATATTTAAAAATGTAAAAAATGAAGGTTTGAAGCCCCTGTTTGAAGCTCCGGGGCTACAAATCCATTTCCACTGAATCTGTGAGGTAAGTTAAAGCTGATGTGGCAGAGAGAAATTTTGAAACCCCGGTTTGAAGCCCCGAGGCTTCACGAGTATTTCCAGTGCTTTGAGGAGACACAGTTGGCCCGAGCGTGGTTTGTTGATTAACATTTTCGAGGACTTGATAAAAAAATTCAATAATTTCATATTTTTTATTTTATATGCTAACTGAATTTTTTGAAGTGTTAACATTTTTAAAGTTATTATTACTTCATCCGTCTCAATTTAAATTGTCTATTTCGGTTTTTGATATTTGATGAAAGTTGTTTTCAAACCATTTTGTATGAAAAATGATGTAGAATTAAAAACTAAAAATTACATTTTAAAAAACTACATCAAAAGATCTACAAAACTAGTGGTACCGACATGATTATATTATTTTATCAAATGACTTATGAAAATAGAGAAATAAAATAAATAATATTTGACCCTGTATATAATAAATAAACAATTTAATTTGGGACGGAGAGAGTATATTATTTTCTTGAAAACGTAGAAAATACTGAAAGCAATAACGACTTTTGGAATAAAGTTGCTGATCAGTTCTACTCCCTCCGTCCCTAAATATTTGCAACATTTTCCCATAAGGGTGATGAGTGTGGGCTCGAGATGGGCTTTGGGGAGGCGACATGGCGTCGGTATTAGGAAACCACCCTCCGAACGGTGTTCCCCTCATTATTGAAATTTACACCCATTCCATTTTCATTACACTCGACATCCAATGCACATCCGACCCACAGACGACATCGTTTTTCTGTCCTAAGACGATGAAGTAGAGGTTGTGCCCAAGGCACAACCTCGAAAATAAATGAAAGGGAAAGCAAAAAAGTGGAACCAAGGAGAAGTGGATAGAGCGCCTCCAAATCATGGATGCCAACCGAGGAGACACGGTGGGCCCGAGCGTCGTTTGTGGATTAACATTTTCGAGGACTTGATAAAATGTTTTTTTAAATAATTTCATTAGTATATATATCACCAAGGTTCCCATGACATTGCCCGGCAATGTCATGAGATGACTCGGGATCGCTCCGGTGCCCCGTTTGTAAAATTGACAGTTTCTACCTCCCAAACCCTCCCACCCCGCCCTGACCCGAACACACACCTCCACTCCTTCAATTGCACCCCACAAGTTGATTTTGACTTTGGAGTCAAAATTTGACTCTTAAATCAAAATCAACTTGTGGGGTGCAATTGAAGGGGGTGAGTATGTGTGTTCAGGTCGGGGCGGGGTTGGGGGGTTAGGGGTTAGGAAGCGTCAATTTTACGAACGGGGCACCTGAGCGCCCCCGGATCATCCCATGACATTCTCGGGCAATGTCATGGGAACCTTGCCCTTAGTATATATGCTAACTGAATTTTTTGAAATGTTAACATTTTCAAAGTAATTATTATTTCCTACGTCTCAATTTAAATTGCTTATTTTGGTTTATGATATTTGACTGAAATTATTTTTTAAATCATTTTATATGAAAAATGGTGTAGAAAAAAATTGCATTTTCTAAAACTATATCAAAAGATCTAATAGTAACATGACATGACTATATTATTTTATTAATTGACTAATAAAATAGAGAACGAATTGAAAGTAAATAATATTTGACTATGTGAATAGTAAATAGGTAACTTAATTTAGGACGGAGAGATTATATTGTTTTCTTGAAAGCGTAGAAAATGCTCAAAGCCATAACGACTTTTGGAATAAAGTTAATTACTCATCAATTCTACGTCATGATAGATTCAGATTCGTCGCATTCAAATACATGCAAAACTTTCATAAAATTATTTTATTTTATTAAAACATACTGGCAAAAAAAAATATCCGGCAAAATAGGTATTCTAATCAATTATTCCAAAATATTACTATTATCCTAGCAGGACTATCCAAATATTCAACTATTGACCGTAGACGACCCAAGCAAAGCCTATCAAGGACTTTTATTTAGGTTATAATAGTGTTTTTATGTGCTTATAAGTTGGTCAAAAATATTTGTACATAATTTGTAATTTATAAGTCAGCTGGTAACATATTTCGGTGTGCTTATAACTTATTTATAAGCCATAAAATATAAATAGGTCTTAGCTATTTATTTTTAAACTAATTTTTTCATTTTTCTGTTTTGACCATATTATTTAAAAAACTGTCCTCACCATTTATGAATATTTATAAATGATTCATCTATCATTTAAGTCATTCTATTTCCACAAAAAAAATATTTGATTACTTATCAACAATAAATCAATAAGCACTAGCACATAGAAATACCCACATAACCAACCCAGCAAAAGGGAGGTTTTTTTATGGAAATTTTCAGGGAACCCTACTTGAAGTACAACAAATGTACACCAACCAAAAATAGACATATACAGGTACTTAATATAAACAATGACATTTTAGATAAAATTCTATAGGTAGATATTATTTTTAAAAATACTGCAACATATTATTTTCAAAAATACTCCAACTAAATATTGTCGTTAGATAATTCAAAAAAAAAACTAAGATTGTTTCCAAACGCTCTATTATTTTTTGACTCTATGCTCATATAGAGTGCTTTTGAAAATTTTAACCTCCACTCAATTATTTTTTGACTTTGAAAAATTTTACCAACACAAAAAAAAAATAATGATTGCGTTTGAAAATAGAGAATTACTTTTATTAAAAACTACTCCCTCCATCCCCAATTTGATTAATTTTTTTTTCTTTCTCTCCTCTCGATAACTTTTGTTTGTTTACGCGATTTCATTAAGTATTTAATAAAATAAAATATTCTTGTCACCTCTTATTTTGTAGAACTTTTGACGTAATTTTTTAATATGTAATTTTTATTTCTTACCGATATATCGATTTGTAAATAAAATGATTTAAAAAAGTAATGCATTTCTTTTCGTAAACCCTAATTTAATTACAAATTGGGGATGAAGGGAGTAACTCTCTTTATCCTCAAATAAATCAAATAAAATTTCATGATTGATCCAATACAAATATGAGCCCGGTTCCATGGCTACTGGATTCCAGTGGCGACGGAAGCTACTGCCCCCTACGGAGCTTCATTCATAAAATTGAGACATAAATAAAACATTCTTTCACATTTCGGTTTTCTTAAATCCTTAATTAAATAATATATATCTTTGTTATTTGTATACTATTTTATACACCGTAAATAAAATAAATTTAAAACTCAAGTTTAACACATAGTTTGAACTGTGTAATTGTTCTAAGAATCATTGTGATTGCAAACCATCCAACACTAGATGGAGAAAGTAAATTGAACAAAAAAAAACCCCAACTCATTATTATGATGCCTTTAGGGATATGTTAAAAAAGGAATCCCTTTGAGGGTCATGCCTAAAATGAAAAATATAATACTAATGCGGAGTTGCAATGAAGTTACGCGCGACCCCTCAGGTTCAGAATGATCTCAATTGACGTACGAACTTCGACGTGCAGAGTTTTCTGAGCAACGGTGGCCAATATGAATTGAACCAGAGTTCTTTGTATTGTGCGAAGTCAAGGTGTGCCAACATGATTGGGAAAGACCTATGACCAACGAATAACTGCAGGAGAGAAAGTCACGAGTTGTGTGATCGTTGGTTTGAGGAGATCAGAGGTTTGTTGAAAATTAGAACAATAAATATGCCACACTGTACGTAGAAAGTAAATTAAACAAAAATAAATAAATCCAACATAACACATTAACATGAAGTCTTTTGAGATGTGTCTAAAAAAAGATCTATAAAGACTTTGAAGGTAGGTCGTAGGTGCGATTTTAATAGTAATTAATACGTGGCCAAGTGTGTAAATAAAAAACAAAATCCACTCAAAGTCATCCAAAACGTACAACAAAATATATATATATGCTCCATAAAACGCTTTGGTGGCATTACTCTTAAACCTGGCAATCGGGTCAATTAGTTCGGTTCCAATTCGAATCTTTTCGATTTTAGATCTTTTTTGGATATATGTTATAATCAGTTTGGGTTAATTCGGTTCAATTCGGTTCCACGTTAAATTTGGTTTAATTTTTTCCGATTTCGGTTCTGATTTATATCGATTCGGGTTTATGCCGGTTTGGGTCTATATCGTTTCGAGTTTGTACCGGTTTCAGATAAGATCTCTTGGTATTAGAGTTCCTAATGTTAGATTTGTGTGTAGCCTTCCTAATCCCCTTCCTATGTGTAAAGGGAGCATATATACAAGTATCTGCAACAATGAGTTAATATATTCATCATAGTGTGTAACGATATCACAATAAATGTAACACTCGGCCCCACCCTGGTCATAAGCATCCGCCCATAGGATTGTAGACTAGTCTCACAAACTAACACAAGTCTTTCCCACATACTTTATTTTCACTCGTGAGTGCCCAAGGAAACTTCCCAGGGGGGTCACCCATCCTAGAATTGTTCCAGGTCAAGCATACTTAACTTTGGAATTTCTAGGTGATGAGCTCTCGAAAAGAAGATGCATCTTATTAGTACGAGTAGTACTATCAATCCCTTTGAGCTCTCTTTCCATTCCCATATTAATACGAGGTATAACAATAAATTAAATAAACTCTATATAAAAATAGACAGCAACTTTTGGTTTAAGGGACAAAATACAGTGTAAAAGATTTGTACATTAAATCACTAGTACCTTTAATTCAAATATGTTGTTCTTAGAAAGACATCAACCAATGAGCTATTAGGTTTGACTAGATTTGAGTTTAATTTGTTTTGAACTTGATCAATATCAGGTCCAATCAGTTTTGGGTCTAACCAGTTTCAAGTCAAATCAGTTTTGGGTTTAATCGGTTCGAGTTTAATCAGAACTAGATCTGAACCGGGTTTGAATACATACCGTTCGGTTTCGATTTGAATCACTTCGGGTATTTGGGTTTAATTCGATTCTTCAATTTTCGGGTCATTTCATATTCGGTTCGAGTTATCAGATTCGGGTCTCTTTCGCCACGTCTTAATTTACTCCTATAAATATAGACATATAATTTGGCAAACCAACTAAATACAAACGCAAAACCCCCCATTACATCCAAATTTCAAAAACATATTCCCACCTGATCGATCGTTATGGTCAACCCTCTTTTCACTCTCCTCCCCATCTCCGCCCTCCTCCTCTCATCCGTTCCTTTTCCGGCCACCGGAGACGACGACGACCACCTCTTCGGGAAATCGATCCACCCGAAAACCCTCGGCCTCAAGAAGGAAAAGCTCAGCCACTTCCGTTTCTACTGGCACGACGTCCTGAGCGGCGAAGCCCCAACCTCCGTCACGGTCATCTCTCCGCCGAGAAACTCCACCACCGGGTTCGGCACCGCCAACATGATCGACAACCCGTTGACCCTCCGGGCCTCCGGCCGGAGTTGACTTCCAAGTGCGTCGGGATGGCCCAGGGGTTCTACGCGTCGGCGTCCCAGCAGGGATTCGAGTTCTTGATGGTTATGAACTTTGCCTTCATTGAAGGGAAGTATAACGGGAGCACCCTCGCGGTGGTCGGCCGGAACCCGGTGATGGACAAGGTGCGGGAGATGTCGGTGATCGGGGGCAGTGGGCTCTTCCGGTTCGCTCGGGGTTACGTTCAGGCAAAGACCCACCGGTGGGACATGAAAACCGGTGATGCTACTGTCGAGTACAATGCATATGTTTTCCATTACTGAGTTTTGCTATTTCTTCTCTCGCAATTTAATTTTTGTTTATCAAATTTGTAAGGTTTGTTCTCGATATACAAAAACAAGTACACCCTCCCTCCTATAAAACCTTTTCTGTTTGAAAAAATGTGCTTTTAAAATATATACTCTCATGTACAATTTGATCTGATGACCACTCTAGAGAAGGAAGTGCTGTGCTTTTTCTCAAGCTAATCTCGTCCAACAGCTCCAATAAGGATTCAATTTTTTCTCAGTTATTCTTTCCTAAATTTGGGAAATACAGAGGACATAACATACTCTCTCCGTCCCAAAAAGATTTACATGTTTCAAAAAAAATTGTGTCCCACAATCCCTTACACATTTCTATTAAAAAACCACTTTTACCCATCATAAAGTGTATTATAGTGGATCCAACACAAAGAAAATTTTTTGTTTACTGGATTATACTCCCTCCGTCCCACAAAAAAGTTCTCATTTTGATCATAAATTGGTCAAACTGTTGCACACTTTGACCCTAAATTAAATATAATCTAAATAAAGAAATGCTAAAAAAATTTGAGATATCAAAACTAGATCCTAAGATGAATCCAATTATATAAAATTTATTTCATAATTCAATATACTTTTCTCACAATTTGTAGTCAAAGCGTGCAAATATTTGACTAAATACTATTCAAAATAGGAACTTTTTTGTGGGACGGAGGGAGTATATACTTTTAAATTTGTTCAAGCACTAGACTCGTACCCGTACGATGCACGGACTATTATTTGACATATAATTATTCATTGTTTTGAATAAGGAAAAATGTTACAAAGAAAAATATTCCATTAGCGATGCACGGGGAGCATTTCATTATTATATTTATCATTAATTAAAATTTAATTAAGAGTTTAATTCATAAGAAAAATATTCTCTCAGCGTCACAAAATCAAAATTTTAAGGCTTTGACGATTTGTCAATCGAGAAAATGTAACGTATAACTGTTCATGACTAAAGACCGTTTTTTTTCAGTAGAAGACTAACATGCTTCAGGGATTGGCCTTGACTTTTATTTGTTTTCATAGCGTATGAGGTCATTATCGGAAATTGTTTTCTCTTAAATATTAAAAATTTAAAAGGAATCCTCGAATCCGAAGGTGTAAGTGCAAGTCTTGGAATCACAAACTCGTTTCGAGCATGTTTAATTCAATAGCATTTTTCATATAAAATGATTTAAAAATAATTTCAGTCAAACATCGTAATGCGTAATGAGAAGTTTATTTATGTACGCAAGTAGAAAAAAATAGGGTAGTAAACTCACTTTATCTCATATTTCCAAAATTATTACTATTTTTATTTAAAACACAAAATAGATTCTTATTTAATCATAATTATAATCACATAATTTTTATTGTTAAAAAATCAAAACTGGACAAAAATTCTGAAAACAAATATTTAAAGATAAGCCCATTACTTATTCATGCCCAAAAGCTCATCCCTATCGGAATATATAAGCTTCTCAGCCTAAACCTAATTTATTTTCCTCCGCTCTTTACTCTCTCTCTCTCTAATCGCCGCTCTTTACTCTCTTTCTCTCATCGCCATGGACGAATTTTTGGAGATTTTGGCGATTCATATATGGCAATATGTGATATTGTTCGACATCGTTTTTTGGATTCAAAACTTTTGATTTCAATTCGTCTTTTCAATAATTCCGTAGATCGTAATTAAATTACAGGATGTATATACGTATATATTCTTGAATTTTCTAAAGATATTTAGATCTTTATATATGAATATGTATGTATCTATGTATGTATGTATGTATGTGTGTGTGTGTGTGTGTATATATATTTATTTATTTATTTATATTATGCTACTGGAATTCGATTTTGACATGCATGAATCAAGATTGTTGAGTTAATGTTTTTATGATTTTTTCATTTTGATTCGTTAGAACTAATTCTTAACATCGGATTGGCATGAGATCTTTACCTTTTCAATTTAGAGATTCTTTAGATCTTTATATATATATATATATATATATATATATATATATATATATATATATATATATATATATATATATATATATATATATATATATATATATACTTCAATCAATTTATATATAGTTCTCTCTCTCAATTTTTATATTAATTCACACTATTTCTTCATTTTTTTCATTAATTATGACAGTAGGTTTTGAATCTGCTCATTTTTTTCTCAAAATATGTACAGATTGAAAAACCCTATATATTGTGGAATTTTATTTGGTTTGTTATTCTTGTTGTTTGAATCTACTAACTACTAATTGCCAATAAAGACTATATATATATATATATATATATATATATATATATATATATATATATATATATATATATATATATATATATATATATATATATATATATATAAATCCGATCGTCACCATCGTAACCACTTGCGCCCTTCTCCGCCGCATATCTCCGATCAACGACTAACATCACTGTCCAATGGTTAGTTTTAAGTGTATTATTTAATTTTTTAATCTTCTTTTTGGTTCTCAGCCTTTAAGATAATTTTCTATTTTTTTCATCATATTTTTTTATTCAGTATACATAGATCTTTAGATCCATGGATATTGCCACATATGATGCATGTCTCCATTATAGTAAGATTGCTAGATCTATTCGCATTTCTTGATTTTATATATATATGTATATATATCATTTTGTATGCATCTCATCACTATTTGTATGTTATCTATTTCTTGAGTTATTTAATTCCTATTCAGTATAATCCCTATTTAAAAATCTATGCCTATATGAATGATATCTAATAATTTGCTGTGTATATAATTATTAAAAACCGGGTATCAAATCTGAGCTATTGTATATATTTTTATATATATATGTGCTTAATATTACATACCACACACACACACACACACATATATATATATCTTCTTATTTAGTATATATGTATTAAACTATATATCATAGTTATAGATATGTATAAATTCTTAATATACTACTGCATAATCATGAATTGCAAACATGTTTGTGTGTGTAAACGGGAACAAAATAACACGCACGGCCTGTAACTTGAACATCAAAGTCGTCCGATTGTTGCCAAGCTTGCCAACGGGAGACCACATGCTTAAAGAAGACGTTTGAGACATTTGATGATTTTTTTTGGATGTTTGAGAAGTGAATTTGAAAGGATTGAAGTTTACATCATAATGCTAGAGTATTTATATACATGCTCCATGATTTCTTTAACCATGCATTAAATGCTTTTGATACGGAGTATTAAAAATCTTTAAAATAGATGGATTTGACACAACGTAAGTTTTTTTAAAAATTAACTTTATGGAGCCACTAAATCATGGTTACCAATGCAACTTTATGGAAGATGGCAATTGAATAGACATAAAGTAAAAAGCAGATTTGATGTTTAGAAAAGGTGAAACACGTCCATCAATGCAGGCCCATATCCGTCCACTAATGCAGGCCCAAACCCGAACCAAGGACCACTTACTTTTGGCGGGAACATTGTTCACCAAAAATGCACCTAGCATTGTATATAGGAGGATTAAAACATACTCAATATTTCCAGATGTTGAGAATAAACTTGAAATCAATATATAAACGAATAGGATGTTGAAAAATACAGATTTAAAGATTATACCTTCTCATTGCCAATTTCTTGTCGATGGTAGCTTCTTCAGAACATCCCCATTTTCATTATACTCCTTCTCCATCGGTCGTGCATCTGCATGTTGCCTTGCGCTCCATCGGTTGTTGCATCTGCTTTTTGCCTTGCATCAGGAGCTAGGGTTTCAAACCATATCCTTGGCGTCATCTCATTCCTTTCGTTTCCCTCTCTGTTAAGGCGTTTGATGAATCAAGATGAAAATTCAATTTCCGATTTTCAGATTGGTGTCGTTAGGGGTGAACAAGTACCGAACCGATATCGAAATTTCCTGAAAAACCCGAGAATACCGAACCGAACCGTACCGAATCGAATGATCGGTACGGTATTCGGGAACGGTACGAGGTGACGTCCCATACCGAAAATCCAGTACCGAACATATATACTAAAATATTATAAAAATAATACCCCGGAGTAATATTTTTATATATTCCTTCACTAAATTATAATTTTTTTAAAAAAAAATTGGTTCAAGTTTTATTATGTGTAAATTATACTTTTATTTGAGTTTTAATTATTGTGTATAAGCATAAAAGTATTCACAAAGATTCAAAATACTCCTTTGTTGTCATTCATTTTTAGTTTGTATAATATAAACTAAGTTTTTGATACGCATCTCTTGCATTTAAATATTCATTTTTTTAAATTTTTCATGTTTTTTTTATTTAATTTCACTTTTAATTTTCAAAAATAAAAGGGTATTGTTAAATTTTAACGTGTAAACTATGTATGTATCTTCATCCCGATTTGTACCGAAACCGACACCGAACCATCCCGAACCATACCGAACTGATATTTCGGGATCGGGATCGGTACGGAGTAAAATCTCATACCGAACCGAAATATTTGGTACGGTATCGGTGCGAGCTAAATACCGTACCATGCTCACCCCTAGGTGTCGTCTCTCGTCTGTGTATACGGCGTATTGAATAAAAGAGCGAAACGATGGGTTGGATGGACGGTTGTAATTGGATATGTGGGGATATCAAACATTAAAGTTTATCCAGTTTGATTCGAAAAAGTCAAACTTGACAAATACACTAGGACAGAGGTAGTACCTTTTTTAGTAATTTTTCGATAGAAGATGATTTCTTTTTACCATAATCTTTAAACAACAGTATACACATACTCACACCAATCGTCATTGTGTTATCATGGTTCTACCTCATTATAGTTGTGAGAAACGCACTTAGCTTGTTCTACGAGGGTGTATGAGAGATTAATAATAAGTACTAAAATGTCATATCTTATTAACCTTTTTTGTGTTTTTTATTAGGAAATGAGTGATGCATTTTCTAGGAGTACATAAAAAATCACATTTTATTACGGAGTATATTATATTTAACACTTTAGGCTGCCATTTGTATCCTATACATAAAAATGATGATAAAGTTGATTAGTATTATTATTATTAACAATTAATCTTATACTCCTTTGTTACAATTATTTTGATTTTTTATTTTCATTGACATAAATTTCTAGACATTTTAAGGAACCCACCCCAAGAGTCCTTCTGCCTGAACCCAAAATCGCAAGCAGCCCAAAGTTCTAGCAATCAATAAAAGTCCAGAAAGTTGTCTAATTTTGAAGCACCACAAATATACCTTTGGTACTTGGTAGCTTAATTTTCTTAAGACCTTCCCCCCATTTTATTTTAGACTTTAATAAAGTTCTCTTTAAAAAAAGAAAAAATTACCCAAAATAATCTCAACTTTACCCGGCCTTTCAAAAATAATTCCACCTTTCACTGTGATGCATAAAAAGCCCAACTTTACTGAAATTTGCCAGTTTTGGGTCGCCGTTAAGTTTCTAACAGAGGGTTAACGGAAATGCCCGTTTTAGGCAACAAAATGAAAGTTGGGATTATTTTTGATGAATTTTCATTTTTTTTCTTTAAAGAAAATTCTGCCTCCATCATCATTTTTTTTTCCTTTTTTAAAGATTAGTCTTAGTTTAAAAAATAAAAATAATAGATATAAAAAATGAAAAAATGAGAAATGTAACTAAAATGATACAAAAATAATAAAATAAATAAGGTAATCAATGGAAACTAACTTGAAATTGTTAAAAGTAAAATAAAAATATACGGGTGGGTTTTAATATTTTGCCCATTATATAAAGTATTAACATATCACTTCTTATTTTTTAGCAAAAATTATCTACAATAATTCCAACTTTACCGGACGGCTTGTCCTTTTAAAAAATAAGTACTCCGTAATACATTAAGACTCCGTATAGTGTGTAAAATGTTAAAATCACCACTCCGTATATATTTATTTTATTTCTTACCAGTTTCTGTTTAATTTCTATTGATTATATTATTTATTTGATTAATTTTGTATGGTTTTAGTTATTTTTCTCATTTTCATTTTTTTATATCTATTTTTTTCTAAGGTAAGAATAATCTTTAAAAAAGAAAAAGAAATGGAGGTTGAAAGTAATTCAAAAAATTTAAATAAAAATTTCAAAAAAAATTAAAAAACAAAAAATCATCAAAAATAATCCCAACTTTCATTTTGTTGCCTAAAACGGGCATTTCCGTTAACCCTCCGTTAGAAACTTAACGGCAACCCAAAATTGGCAAATTCCAATAAAGTTGGGATTATTATGCATCACAGTGAAAGGTGGGATTATTTTTGAAAGACCGAGTAAAGTTGGGATTATTTTAGGTAATTTCTCCTTAAAAAAATTATAAAGTTATGCTATTTTTATTTTGTACTCATAAAAAAAGAAGGCAAATTATTTTGTGGTCTTTAGATTTATTTTCATTTTATGAACCTTCATATTCTGTATATAAAATAATTTTATATATTAGGTCTTGCTAAAATAAGAAGATACAATAATGAGCCCATGAAGAACATGTAAGAAGATCTACATTTGACATGTGATTCTTAGAACCATATTTGACATGTGAACTTTAGTACTACAATAACACAACTTTCCAAAACATGATTTTTTTTCATTTTATTTTTCGAGATTTTCTAGTATCATTATTTATTCTTTTCTCATTTTCTTTCCTCTTTGTTTCTCTCTACATCTAAACAAAGCATAAAACTCAAACCAAGAACAGGAGAAGTTTTATACGTCCGAAAGTGTTTGTTTAGTTTAAATTTTTTTACAATTAAAATTAACAAACTTACATTATATTGATACAAAATATTTTTATTAGGTTAATCTTGTAAAATATTTTTAATATATCGTTTTATCACATTAACATATCATATAATTATAGGTCAACGGTTTATCTTGTTTGACTAAGAAACAAAATTGGATGAACACGTACTCTAGAATGGGGGAGAGAACAAACTAAGGATACAATTTCTATTCGACCCGATGGATAACTGAATCACCCAACCCGATTTAATGGATAAAAATTCGACTAAAAAAAGATGGTGGACGGATTATGGATGGACTAACGATGGATCGGGTCAAATGTGGATGAATATTTTTCTCACCCTTCACTAGATCCATCACTCGACCCATTCATGTTTTACTTTAAGATAGATTAAAATTAAAAATATTAGTTTTGCTGAGTACATAAGTTTGTTCAACTATACTTTCTAATGTACCAATTTATTAAAAAAAAACTTTACTTCTGTCTTAGAAAATTGTTTCTTTGAATGAATTCATTACAGACATCATTAATCTTTTGTTTTTCAACGAGTTTTTCTGCATTTTGCGCTTCATAAGTTGTTATGTCACCGATTTTCAACTGATTCCCCATTATCACCTGTGGGCGATGAATGAATTCGACAATGAATGATGTATGTAATGGATAATGAATGAATAAAGAGATGAATATAAACTTAATTGATGAATTAGAGTGAAGTTCTACCCGACCAAAACCGACCCATTATTATAAACAATCCAATTCTCTTCTGTAGAAAGTTCTTTAGTCAATATATAGATCTAGAAGGATGTACATCAATTCGATTTGGCCGACCAAATTAACTCCTACTATTACCATGACTATATTACGGAGTAAAAGTCAAAGCAAGTTCCACTAAAAGTCGTGAGTGTCAAGCCAATTTTGTTGCTTTCAACTCTTCTTAATGTGAATGAGAAAATTGTGTTCTCAATGAGCATATTGTGAATGGAAGAAATGTATTTTTAACTCCCACTAGCATGACCAAAAGGTGCTACAAATTATATTAGATACCGGTTCTAGAACCGCTGGAATCCAGTGGCTACAGATTACAGAAGTCACTGTCCCCTACGGATCTTCGTTCATGAAATTGATGATTCCTACCCCCTAACCCTCCCGATAAACCGTCCCGCCAAGTCTCGACTCAAACTACTCCCCCACCTACGTCAATTGCACCTCGCAAGTATAATTTCAATTATACTTGCGAGGTGCAATTGACATAGGTGGGGGGAGTAGTTTGAGTCGAGACTTGGCGGGGGGTTTACCGGGGGTAGGAATCATCAATTTCATGAACGGAGCTCCGTATGGAACAGTGGCTTCCGTAGCCACTGGATTCCAGTGTTTCTAGAACCGGTCTCATTATGTTATATTCTCCTCGTTCTTGGGTATATATGTCCACTTTTGATTTTTTTTAGTCAAAGTTAGTAAGTTTTGATATCAAATTAAATAAAAATGATATTAGATATTGATATAAAAATAGTTTTATTAGATTTATTATATCAAATATTATCAAAATTTTATTTTATCTAATTAATATATACTCCCTCCGTCCCAGTGTATTTGTCCTGTTTGACTTTTTTGAGTCAAACTGGATAAACTTTGAGCTTCAATTAAATAAAAACCGTAATGTATTTTAACATAAAAATGACTTTATTGGATTTATCGTATTGAGAACTTTCAAAATTGTATTTCATTATGCTTATATACAATATAAATTGAGAGTAATCGGAGTTCAAAGTTTGTCCAGTTTGACTCAAAAAAGTCAAACCGGACAAATACACTGGGACGGAGGTAGTAATATATATTTTATTTAATTATAGGTCAGAGGTTGAGAGTAATTGACTTAAAAAAGTTAAAACTAGACAAATACTCAAAAACGAAGATAGTGCTTACTAATTACTCATTCGTCAGCAATAATATTTCACATTTCTTTTTTTAGTGCTTCCGAAAAAGAAGTGTTTCATTTTTTTATTTTGGAAATCTTTTTTGTAATCTACGGATTATAAATTATCCTCTTTGCTAGATTACAAACACACAAATTTACTTTTTTTTATCAGCGTACTTAACCAATTGTGAAATATTTTTGTGAGACAAAAATTATGGAGTAATGGTTCATGCGAGGCACGGACAAGAAATTATTATTGAATTTATAAGACACAATGATATTTCAAAGTCAGAATTAACTTGAATGTGCAATTGAAAAGGTTGGGGGTGTTTTGATCGGGGCGGGATGGAGAGTTTACCAGCGGTTAAGGAAATAGAAATTATCAATATTAGAAATGCGACACCAGAGCACTTCGAGTTATTCCATAATATTGATTCTCAATATCATGGAAACGACCCCTATTAAAAGGACTCAATTGTGCGAAGAAGAGAGGGTTCATCACGTGTATTTATCAGGAAAAATGGGGAAGATGCATGGACTAACGGAAAACTTAACGGAAGGACCAATCTTGTAATGTTAACATGACTTGAAGCACTATTCATGGGCTTTATAAAGTTGAAGGACTAATCGTGCATAATGCAAAAACTTGAAGGACCAACGGTGGAATTTAGCCTTTATAAAACACAATGATATTTCAAAATCAAAATTAAATTGAGGGTGCAATTGAAGGGGATGAGAGTGTGTTCGGATCGGGACGGGATGGAGAGTTTACTTGGATTTAAGGAAATAGAAATTATCAATATTACAAACAGGACATAGAAACATCCTCGAGTCATCCTATGATATTGATTCCAATATCACGAGAATCGGCCCCCAATTAAAATCAGGTAAAAAATGGTGTCACCTTAGTTTTCATTAGGTGGCATTATTGCTCCTATAAATATAGACCCACATTTTGCAAACTAACACCATTTGGCCACGCCTTCGGGAAATCGATCCGTCCGAAATCCCTAGGCCTGAAGAAGGAAAAGCTCAGCCACTTCCGTTTCTACTGGCACGACGTCCTGAGCGGCCGGAACCCGACCTCCGTCATGGTCATCCCGCCGCCGGGGAACTCCACCACCGGGTTCGGCTCCGCGAACATGATCGACAACCCGTTGACCCTCCGGCCGGAGTTGACCTCCGAGTGCGTCGGGAGGGCTCAGGGGCTGTACGCGTCGGCGTCCCGGGAGGGGATCGGTCTGCTGATGGTCATGAACTTCGCGTTCATCGAAGGGAAGTACAACGGGAGCACCCTCGCGGTGGTCGGCCGGAATTCGGTGTTCGACGAGGTGCGGGAGATGTCGGTGATCGGCGGCAGTGGACTTTTCCGGTTCGCTCGGGGTTACGTTCAGGCAAAGACGCACCGGTTGGATCTGCAAACCGGTGATGCCACGGTTGAATACAACGCATATGTTTTGCATTATTGAGATTTATTATCATTTGGGGACCCACTTTCTCCCATTTTTGGTTTATTGACTTATTAGTGTTATTATATTCTGATGAATAAATTTACGTTATTTAGTGTTATTATATTCTGATGAATAAATTTACGTTATTTAGTGTTATTATATTCTGGTAAATAAAAAGGCAGCATTACGTTGTGCATTTATTAGATTTGAAAAATGTATGATCACATACAAAAATATTAACCCTTCACCTTTTGTTTTTTTTGAATTTCTTAGGATAGTGTTTGGCAACTAGCATTTTATTTCAATTCATGTATTTTAATTTCAAAATTTGAAATCTTAAATTTCAAATGACAAAGAGAGGTGCATTGATTTTAAATTAAGCTTTGTTATGAATGAGAAAAATTTGACTCAAATCCAGATTCAAAATTTTTAAATTTTCCAAACATGGAATTTGAGCCAAATCTGGATTTGAAATCCAAATCCATGTTCCCAAACATACCATAAAAAACTTCCATTTTCTATTTAAAAACTACTTTTACCCTAACCTTTTCATACTGTATCTATTACATCATATTTTTTTCTCTTATAACCAAACTATCACATCTTACTTTTATCCATCACATCAGGGGCAAAATTAGAAAGTCAACCAAAATTATATTTTTTTTATTTTTGCCAAAAGTCAAAAGTGGAAGTGTTTAAAGAAACGGAGGGAATATATTATTATAGAACCAATAACATTAAAAAACAAAGGAGAAAGATTGGGGGATTAAGTAGTCATGCCCCAATATTCATAGGTGAATGAGTTGTCAAGGTAAGAGCTAACAATGGTGAGACAAAAAAAGAATGTCACATGCTTACGTAGAACATTTCAACCAATGAAAAATAATTCAGTTAGCAATTGACAACAGAGTGGTGTAGCATGTCCTGCAGTGACAAGTCACTACTTTTATTACTTTTTTCATTTTCTTGCTAGATTTGAATTATTAAAATATATTTTCCTAATTAGTTTAACATGAAAATATTTCTATTCACTCAAAAATGACATTATTTAAATGTAGAATTATGATGTGAAACTCCTTGTTTTTAAACATTATTTTATTTCAAATTGGTAAAAGAATAAAAATAAAACTTACAAATTAAAAAGCAACATCAAAAAAAAATAGTTACACTCCAATAGATTGGAGTGTACTCTAGACAACGAAAGTGCATCACACCTCACTTGAAAACCGTTAACCGTGGAAGAACGGTAAGAGCATGTGCAAGAGGGATGTCTTGCACTGCCACATCAATTTCTTTCACTCATATCATGACATGGCAAGGCCAAAATGCCTTGTTTGATGATGAATGAGTGTGGCATTTCATACAGAGTACTACTTTTTTACTTTTTTAAAAAATAATTTTTTTTAAAAATTTTTTATGAAAAAAAATGTACAAGAAAGTAGAATATGTTTTTAATAAAATAAATAATAAAAATAATTTTTATCTTTAAAAAACATAAAAAAATGAAAAAAAGTGATAAAAAATAATGACTTGTCATTGTAAGACTTGCCACTCCATTTACTTGCCACACGCTCACTGGACTATTTTTGATTGGTTAAAATGTTTCATGCCACCGTGTGACATAAGAGCATCAACACTGGCGTGTTTGGAGGGATGCCACGCTTCCAGATCAGCACGGAGAAGGAGGTTGCCATGCATGGATAGAGCATTCCTCCTCTATTTGCAAGTCATGACCGTGTCAATGTGTTCCCATTTATTTTTTTAATTTTTTTTGAATTTTTTTTAAAGGAATACATCTTTTTCTGATGAAAATAGGATAAGTAAAATAATTTTGAATAATTAAAAATGTTTAAAAAGTTTAAAAACTCACAAAAATAATGATTTTTAAATAAAATGATATTTAATTTGTATCGTAATTCTAAAATAATAATCTAAATTGAGATGAAGGAATAAATAAAAATATGGAGTAGATAACAAAAAAAATTTGAAAATATATATATAAAATTATTTATTTGAGTAAATAGAAATATTTTCATGATAAAAATATATAAGTAAAATCATTTTTTATAATTCAAATATGGCAAAAATATGAAAAAAAAGGGATGAAAACAATGACTTGCCATTGCAAGCCATGCCACTCCACTCGTGTGTCACTCGTTGACTAGACTATTTTTTATTGGTTGAAATGATCCACGTCAGCGTGTGGCATTCCATTTTTGCCTCACCATTGTTCATGCTCTAATACAAATTATGTCATTGGACTTGTTATGTTTATTACCATAACGTTTACTTGACATCTAAACAAAATTAGTTTTAGGGAGAAAGATCAAAGTAAGATTAAAACATTGAAACTTCTATTTTACGGAGTAGTATTCTTTTTATATGTTTTAATCTTATTTAATGTAATTTCTATAATAAGTAAACAAACAAAATTGGTCGAGATAAATGAAAGTCGCGAGGGGCAAGCGAAATTTGTTGCTGTCAAGCTAAGTTTCAACTTCTCTTAATAATGTGAATGAGCAAAATGTGTCTACAAAGAAGAATTTTTGTAAATAGTATATAATGATAAAAGAGAAATCTATTTAAATAGCACTAAAACATAATGACTTTCTCTATATAGCACTACATGTGTTTTTTCTTCTCAATGTAGCACTTTTAGTCATTATGCATTAGTCATTATTCAAGCAAATATTTGCCATCACAGGACATTATGGACATTGTTAAGTGCTATTTAGAAAATAAAACAATTTAAGTACTATTTAGAGAAATGACTTAAGTTTTAGTGCTATTTAGTGCAAATATTTCATGATAAAAACCGATTACAATGAGACACATATGTCAATCCTCTCTAAATTTATATCGATAAATTACGTTGACACTGTAAATCAGTGTTAATTGATAACACTCAATCACTTAGAACACTTCTGAGTGCTCCAAATTATGCAACATAGGTAACAATTTTCTTTTGGAGAGCGTTGCACAGTTGATAAGTCAATGGGTGTCAAGGAGATAAGACCCGAGTTCCATTCCTGACAACTGCACTGAGAGACAAATATGCTAAATATCAAGTACCAAATACAATTTATGCCTTTGCCACTAATTTACAATTAAAATCCAATTTTTCTCCTCTTAGTGACTATCTAGCCAGTTTTAGGGAGTCTCGGAGATTGGGCTCATCCTTTTTCCATTGGGGGAGGGGGGTGGGGAGAGGGTTGGGTGGAATTGGTCCTATAAATATACACACATTTTGCAACCTAACAATATAAACAAACACTCATTGCATGGTCCAAATTTCCAAACACACATAGTCCCACGTGACCGAAAGCTACTCCATGGCCGACTCTCTCTTTACTCTCCTCGCCATCTCCGTCGTCGTCCTATCCGCCGTTCCTTCTCCGGCCACCGTAGACGGGCACGTCTTCGGGAAATCGATCCCCCCGAAAACCCTAGGCCTAAAGAAGGAAAAACTACATGAAAAGTTCTTCGAAATATGAGGCGTCAAGAATATTTTAGTTTATCAAATAATCAATGAAAACGTAGAAATAAACAAAAGTTCCCGACACTGCTGAAAAAGCAAATGTTGTGAATATTTAGGAACGGAGGGAGTATAATTATAGATTAAAGAGACAATATAAGTTGACTGTAAAAAGTTAAACTCGGACAAATGTTCTGAAACGAATGAAATATTATTATTATATATTTATATTTGTACCAAAATAATTATACTCCTTTTGTTAATAGTGTCACCCGGAGTACTATTTATACATGATTTTTATGCTATTATAATTATATTAATAAAAAAGACAGAATTATGTAAGTGTATGTTTTTTCACTAAGGTTAGGTATAAGTTTAAGTTTGAGTATTGTTTTTATTAAAATAATTAAAATTATCAATGAGATCTGGGTGAAGATGTATGTAATAATTAGAGTCGATCCATATATGGTACGAGTTAAAAAATCTAGATTGGAAATTTTGTTATAATAATGTAAAAACATATGTCTTTACCATATTGTTTTCAACCAGGTTAACTTGTATATAGTGAAAAACTACTACACAAATATATCCTTTATCCTCTATATATATATATATGAGACTTGGAGCTTTAAAAACATGACATTTGGCATATTCAAAGCTTGACATGTGGCGCATTAAGAACTTGACATGTGGCATACTAGGTGTCAATTTAACCAAATTTACTCTCTTTCATTATTTCACATTTTTTACTCTTTTTTCAAAAATGATATAGAGTAATTACTTATTTTGAACCCATGAATTCAAATTTAGAATCAAAAATATTTTCCGTGTAAATTATAACTTTTAATAAAATAGCATTTTTTTCAGGACTGTACGTACAAATAATTTTAATACCTATCCCGAATTCGTTAAATCATAAAATTTTCAGAAAAATTTTATACTAATAAATAAAATACACTCCTCACCCATAAATAAATTTTATATTTATTCATTGTACATTTACATGACATTTAACCTTCGTGGATGAGTTTTATGGGTTAGTCTCAAGAAATTGCAAAGAAAACAAACCTTAAAACCAATCAATGAAGGTTAGTGGTTTCGATTTTGGATTCCACCAAGAAGACGAACAATTGAGACTTGAGAGATGAGTGGTGATTTCGGTTTTGAATTCAAAGTTCAGCGACGGGTTTGGGAAAAGAGTGCGAGTGGAGGGAGGAAGCTTAATTGAGGAGAGAGAGGAGCGTAAATTTATAATTTTATCCACGTTTTTAGCGTAAATGTTAACAAAGAATCATTCGTGGAAAATAATATAATAATTGGGGACTAAATTATTGATATTTGATATTAGGGACTAAATATGTAAAATGAACCATAACTGGGGACCTTTTATGTAATTTACTCAAATTAAAAACAAACAATACATTTCAATAACTAGATTGAACAATTAAAAAATCAATATATGACTGGACTAGAATTGAGTTTTTTTAAATAATAAACAAAGATTTCTCTTCATACATAAATAATATACAAAGATTTCTCTTCATACACAAATTCAATTTAAAATATTGCATTGAAGTTAATTTACAGAAGTGTCAAAAAATTCATCCAAACCCGTGCGTGGCACGGGTAGAAATACTA